CTGTTCAATGATCCAATATAACTCAGTGATATCATTTTCTATCTTATACACTTAAATATACCTGCAGTTATATCATTTAGAGCACTTTCTTTTCCTCTCTTTTGTACAATGACAATTACACATTTTGGGTTTTGTTACTCCCACAGTTCTTACTACTTTTTTGGAAGGGAGTAGAACCAAATGTGACATAACAGAACAGAGTCAATCAAATCAAAAAGGTGGACATAATAGATAATGTAAAAGCATAATACAAGGTGATCAACAATAGTTACCATAATGCCTCCCGCTATCTCTAATAGAATTGCCTATATCATCAGTTATAATAAAATTGAACAAAACAGTAAAGAACAAAACCGACAAAACCAAAACATTGGAGACATTGTAGGTCTTCAAAAGTAGATAAAAGTCATCGAGAATGGGCGTCATAATGAATCTCACTATCTTCACAGCTGTTGCCTAAACTTTCGAACCTGGTACTATCCAGCGAAATAGAATAGGGGGACATCAGTCAAAAACAAGATGGTGAGAGCAACACAGGGCTTCAAATCAAGATAATGGAAAGTGAAAGTGGGTTACTCTAATATATCCTGCTATTTTTATTTATTTTTCCCTTAATTAAAAGGATAAAAATAAAAAAGTAAATAATGAAGTGGAGATTGAGAAAAAAGAGGGCATAACAGTAAAACAGCGCAGATCAAAACATAACCATTTAAGCAGAAAAGTGTTTCATCACAAGATAATCTTGACATAAAAGTAGTTACCATATTGTCTCTTTCCTTGAAATCCTTGAGTACAACTTCGTATACTGTAGCATTAAATATATCAAAACAATGTAAAACCATTTAAGAGAATGACAGCATTACAGGGTATTTAGAATCAACTAACAGAAAATGAACAATGGTTTCTGTATAATCTCCTTGTCTTTAAAAGTTTTTGCTTATACTATCGTACATAATAAAAATCCAATAAGATACAACCTGTTTAGACCAATGGAGACAGAAGAACAAAAGCTTGATGAGACTTCAAAACAAGATGATACTAAATCAGTATTACCTATTAAGACGTCATTTTCTCCAAAATAGCTGTTCCTATCATCCAATCTTCTTTGCCTCATTTCTGTTGAGCTCTTTTTATATCATTAGTTGTCAGTTTGTCTTCTTCATTTTTTTCTCTGCTCCATTCATTGTGGCCTCCCCGCCACTATTTCTGGATTCTTTGTATTTTTCTTTTTTTAGAATATCCTGCAATACTCTCTGTAGAGTTGAATTGGTGGTTGCAAATTCCCCCAGTTCCTCTTTATCCTGGAAGCACCTTGTTTTTCCATCAATTTCCAGGGACAGTTGTGCAGGATATCTCAATCTTGGCTGGAGATTATTATCTTTCAAAGCTTGAATTATTTCCCCCCCACGCTCTTCATGATTTGATGGTTTGTGCAGAGAAATCTGCTGTAATTATGATGGGTGTTTCCTTGTAAGTGGTCTCTTTCTTGTCTCTGACAGCTTTTAATATTCTGTTCTTGTATTGAATTTCTGGAATTTTTATTATTATATGCCTGGGTGTTGCTCTGTTTGGGTTGTAGGTGGCTGGGGTCCTTTATGCCTCATACATCTGAGTATCTTTACCTTTTGCTAAATTAGGAAAATTCTCCTGGATTATTTCTGTGAGTAGCTTTTGTAGTTCATTTGTTTGTGTCCCTCCTTCTTCTTTTATGTTCTTAATTCTTAAGTTATGGATCCTCTTATCATCTTCTTGTCTTTGTATTATTGCTGTTTGTTTCTTTGTTATTTTTAAGAAGTTTTTCATTTCATTCTCCCATATTACAAGTCTGCCCTCCAGTTCAGATAGTCTGTCCTTAGTTTCTTTCAAGCTGTTATGCCAGTTTTCAATAGAGCTTTTAGTTTCCTGGTAGTCCCTTTGAACCTGCTTCACGTATTCTATGCTTTCTCTATTTTCTCCATCAAACAATTCTCCCCTCTTTTTCTGTTCTTCCATTCCACCATCCGTTTTTTCTTGAGTGGTGCTTAGCATTTCTCTAACTATTCTGCTTACTTCTAGCTTCAGGTCATTAATAACTTCATTCCTGAACTGATCTATGAGGCTCTCTAGATGGCACTTTATGTCTATTGGTGCGGTGTCCGCTATTACCTGTTTCTCAGGGTTAGGGGCCAAGGAGCCTTTCTTATTGCTGCCTCTTCCCATATTCTTTGTTCCTTATATATGCAAGCTTGTATAGGAGGCCCAGCTTCCCTCCCTGTCAGCCACAGCCTGATTGAATTGTGCCGGCTAGGTGTTCCTGCCCACCGCAGCACACCAGGAAGTTCCAGACCAGGCAGCCTACGCGGGGCCGCCCCTCCAGGTCACCCTCAGGCTCTGGGATCTGGGTTGGGCTAGCCTACTGGGTCTGCCAGCAGCGTCACGTAGGCTAGGCACTTCTCCCCAATCCCGCTTGAGAGGGGGATACCTGGCTGGAGTCGCTGCAGCGCCCCACTCCCACAAGTCTGCCCAGTCCCAGATTGTCCTCCGCTGGAGTCAAACAGTGGTAGTGTGTCAGTTTCTCTCACTCACCTCACCACAAGTCAGTGCACGGCTCCCCGCCCGTCCTGTTTTCAACTCCGTTCGCCGATTCCCATTCCCAGAGCTTCTGCGCGTCTCTCTCCCTGCCGAGCTGATGTAGATGCAGCTGCCGCGTGGCAGGAAACCCAAATCGCGGCTTTCAATGGCGCGGGCTCCAGCCTCCACACTGAGGCCCCTCTGTTCTTGTTCTAGCACCAGGACTGCATTCCAAGTTGGTTTCTCTCATCCCAGTTCGTTCCTGGGTCAGCAGAGCATATCTCCACCTGCTTAAGTCTCCTTACTCCGCACCATTCCTGACTTCTGAGCCGAGTCTTTCAGAGAGCCTCCATAGCTGCTGTTATCTGTCCGCCATGTTCTCCCGGAAGTTCAGCTGATAACACTCTTAAACTATTTTTTCCTTTGTGTTGTCTTGCAGCCATTGAATTATTATTTCTTGGTTCTTCATTACTATTTTTTTCATTTGTTTCCTTGTTACTTTTAAATTATTTTTCCTTTGGCAATCACTAGCTGCCATCCTGTCTTCAAGATCTGAAAGCCTATCTTCAGTTTCTTTCATGCAGTTTTGACAGCTTTCAATGGAATTTTTAATTACCCAGATATCTTTTGGAGTCTGTTTCATGCATCACATTTTTTCTCTGTATTGTTTATTCAAGGCTTCCCTCGTTTTCCTATGTTCTTTTTTTTTTTGTCTTTTTTCTTTTTATCGGTACCAGGGATCGAACTCACGACTGCCTGCTTCCAAGGCAGGCACTTATGCCGCTGAGCTAAATCCCCAGCCCCGCCTATGTTCTTTTTTTAAAAATCTGTGTTTTCTTTAGATATGCTCAGCAATCCTTTTATATGTTTGTCCTTTCTTCTTCTTCTTCTTTTTTTTTTTTTTTTTTTTGTGGTACCAGGGATTGAACTCACGACCTCGTGCTTGCCAGGCAGGCGCTTATGCCACCGAGCTAAATCCCCGGCCCTGTCTTTTCTTCTTTTACCTGAGATATTATTTCTGTTCTGATTTCTTTTATAGCCCCATGAAGGAAACTGAAGTTTCCTTAATTCAGTTGCCATCATCCTAGAAATTTCAAGTGTTCAAATTCCATGTCCATGTCTTCTGGACTTGATCCAGAGGCCAGAGATTATCTTTTGCTCCTTCAACTTGTCATTTTCCTGGGTTCCTCCAGACGAGCAAGCCATGGGGTCCCAGGCACTTCCCACATTGGCTACCCATCCGTGGTGTAGGGAGATGGGTCAGGCACCTGAGTTTCTCCTAACCCAGGATCCCCAGGAGGCTGTGGGCTGCAGGGCGAGCTTTTCCAGACACTCTTGGCTTCTCCAAAGCATGGCTGGCTGGTTCTCCCAGCCCCGCTGGCCACCTGTGGGAGGGTCCCGATGGTGGCCTTATGTTTCATTTTAAATTAATATTTGTGGAAAGTGTAATGTCTGTGTTTAGATCAGTCTTAATCTGTAGATGTCCAGTTGTCCGAGAGACTGCAGAGGTACTGACACTGCATCTTCACTGTGCTACCTTTGTTTCTTTGTCAGACTTAAGTTAACCCATCTCTCTGTGGGTCCAGATGCTTTATTGTAATTTGACATGAAGCTTTGTGCCATGAAATACTTGGATTGCAATTGTCAGCGTCTTTTCTGAAGGAAAATGTTTCTGAAGGAAAATATGTTCTCATATTTGACATGGAGCATTATAGTTGGAGTTTATTATTAGTCAAATCAAAAGTCAAAAGTAACTAGAAGACTAACATTAATGAAACTCCTTTCTAATTTTTAGCCTGTCTGAAAGTTTTGTCTGTTAAATTCCTTATTAAACCTTCCCTAAAGGGCAGGTTTGACTTTCATAGGTTGTCTTTAAAATAAATATTAAAGTATTTCATTCATTTTAGTTATGGGATAAACATTGTCTTTCATTTTTAGTACTGTTTTTGACTAGGTAGATTTCCTCTGCAACATTGCAACTTCTACTCAGTGGATATTAGTATGACAATATGTTTTTGTAAATTCCTTAAATATTGAATCTTGTCAAAATCAGCAAAACTTTGGATTAAGAAGCCAGAGGAAAATAACATGTAAGACAGAGAGAATGGTGAATGTTGGTTTCATTCAGCAATCTCAACTTTGTTGAAAATAGTAAATTCATGTTAAAAGCATTCTGTTGTCTGCTGAGTGTGGTAGCCTATAATGCCAGCATCCTGGGAGACTGATACAGGAAGATCTCATCCTGGGCAATTTACCAAGACCCTTTCTCAAAATAAAAACTAAAAAAGGGCTAAGGATGTAGCTCACTGCAGAGGTTCACTCCCTAGTACCTAAAAAAGTACTACCACTAACAAAAAAATGCTATTGTCATTATACCCTAAGGGATGGGAGAAGCCTGTGGCTTTTCCTGGTCTTGCCAATGGATATGTGTTTTCTGTTTCTTGCTGCAGGTCTGAGCTCTTTTTACTCTGAGCTGATGAAAGGACTGGGCGCTGGTGGGCGTGTCTGGGAGCTCCTGGAGCGGCAGCCCCAGCTGCCCTTTAATGGTAAGTCAGAGATGGAATTGAAGTTTTAGTCTACTGTATTTTGCATAAATATCTATATGCCATGGAATAGTTGGTTTGCATTTTTGAGCATCTTACTAAAGGAAAATGTTGCAAATATATGTTCTCATATTTGACAAGGACATTGGAGCTGACTTAAGTTTAAATTATTATGCTTTGGATGGGTAGACTGGTGCCCTGCCCTGGCCCTGCCCCTGCCTCTAGGCCCCACCCCTACCCTTGCCACTAAAGGACGAGCTGCCATTGCTTGTGGTTCCTGCAGCTCAGCAGGAAGAGGTAGGTTTCCTGTGAGAGGGGTGAACAAGGAGGGCCCCTGGTGTGGCTGCAGCTGGTGTTCCTGTGCATGGAGCTGCTCACACTCCTGTAGTCATTGGTCATTGTCCAGGGCAGGAACGATATTAGAGCAGGTGGGGATTGACTAGATGGGCATACCCATGAGAAGCTAGGGTTGAGCACTGGAAAGATCCAACATACCTATGCTTCAGTTTTCTTGGCATTTTGAAGTAGGGCGTGGAATGCTGGTATTAAGTGACTAGAGCTAGATCGGTGGCCTGGGTCACTTCACTGGGACTTGAGAGGAATGGTGTGAGGAGCAATCACTGTCCTCCACTCCTGGCCCCCCAGGTGCTGTAGGGTAGGTGCAAGCCAGTGCATGAACCCTGTTTTCTCCAGTATGACAGGCCCTGGGACCAGAGCCCAAGCAGAGGTGAGCTGAATTGCCCTGTCAGAGCCAGGTACCCCCAGGCAGACTTCCAGCTGCCATTCACTTGCCATCTATCACCAGTCTTTCAAGCATCTGTTCAAGGTTGACAAGGTGAACTCTGCTGCAGGAGTAGGGTTGGAAGCCAGACCGCCCTCAGGCAGATCTCAGCCCCCATCCCCCATTGTGGCCTCAGTGTCCTTCTCAGGAGAGGTAGATCTTGGGGTTGGGCTGTAAGATGAAAAAAGACTGCCCATAGGTATGGCTGGCACATGTCAGGCATTCCATGCAGGCTGCCTCCGTGATGTGCCCTTAAGAGAGTGCTATGGTGGGCTGTGTCTGCCATCCAGCCTCAGCAGTACAAGAGAACTGCACTGGGCAGTGAATTTGATGTTTGCATTGAGTAGTTGACCTTCCCTCTTGTGTTTCAGAGGGTGTTACTCTAAAGGAGCAGAGTTTCCAGGGCGCCTTGGAGTTCAGGAATGTGTACTTCGCTTATCCAGCTCGTCCAGAGGTGTCCATATTCCAGGACTTCAGCCTTTCCATCCCATCAGGATCCATCACGGCACTGGTCGGCTCAAGTGGTTCTGGCAAATCCACTGTGGTTTCGCTTCTCCTGCGACTGTATGATCCCATTTCTGGTAAGTATCCCATCACACCTTGGATAGGGGCTCTCTTAAGCCCCTTTCTTTATGCCTTAGGTGGACTAGTTGAACAGATATTAGCCAGTAGAGCTCATCTTGGGAGGAGTTCTCTCAGGTAGAAGGTGTCATTTGTCAGGTAGAGTGACTTGCACAGAGGCTATCTTGACATGTGGTAAATTTTGTGTCCTACCTCTGCACCTTCAGTCCAGAGCTCCACCTGCTGGTCTCCATGCTCCTGCCTCCTCTGCATGTCCCCTCTTTTGGGAGGAAATCCTGCTCAGTGGAGGTCGGTAGCTAAGCGCAAGTACCCACATTCTTTAGGGCATCCTCTTCCCGAGTATGACAGAGCCACCCGTGCTAGGTGCTGAACCTCTGGAAGACTGTCTGACACTTCTGCTTGTGAACCACACAGTGCTTACTGTAACAGCAGTTAACTTGGCAGTTATCTCTGCTATCTCTGATAGCTCTCTTTGGAATCAAAACTCTGTGAGGATATGTGATTGTTAGAACACCCACTCGGTAGGAAGCCTGGGGACTGTGCAACCCTTAGTGGCTTGTCTGCCACGGGGAACCTAAACTTCAGCCAGAGGTCCCTCTTGGTTCTGACACTGCATAAAGCATGTTGGTTTTAGATTCCATTTGGAGGTGTGGTGTATAGTTTTAATCTTGGGAAACCTACATGTGGAAATTTACCACTGGGCCCTTTCTGTGTTCGTATTAGTCATCAGCCCCTTGATACTCAGTGACTCTCTGCCCTCCCCTCTACAAGGAACTATTAGTCTTGATGGCCATGACATCCGCCAGCTGAACCCCGTCTGGCTGAGATCCAAGATTGGGACTGTCAGTCAGGTAAGAGGCCTCCATTGTCACCTCCTGTCCTTTGAAATGACTTTTGTCCTTTTCTGTTGCACTTCTCAAGAAATCAGGAATTGCTGGGCGTGGTGGCATACTCCTGTAATCCTAGTACTAGGGAAGCTGAAGCAGAAGGATTGTTGTGAGTTCAAGACCAGCCTGGGTTACAAAGTAAGCTCAAGGCCAACCTGAACTGCATAGTGAGACCCTGTCTTAAAAAAAAAAAAAAAAACCCTCCCCCTAAAAAGAGCAGGAATGAAGTTTTCCAGCTGTATTAAACTCCCTCACTTGACAGATGGTTTGCTGTTTCTTGAGGGCCCACAGCACTTCTAACAGTTGAAAATGTAAGCTCTGACTTTTACCCCAAGGCTGGGACTGCTGTTTTTTGTAATGCAGATAATCTAGAGGATGTGGGAAAAAACTATACATCCTTCTTCTGGCTCTTCCCATGTCCCCATCCAGCCACCATCCTTGCTGCATGCAGTTTTTGGGGATGCACAAGCAAAGACTGTGTGGTGAATCCCAGAGACTCTGCAAAGCAGGGGCTACTTTCAAAGTGGAGTATGACTGAAATGGGGTTACTTGGCTAAAACTGTTTGGGACAGTGGGACCTTTGGGACAAGGAAATTTTGTCACAGCCAGTTTCTGTCAGTATCACATGGGCTCAGTAGGCATGCCTCTGGCTTCCCATTTCTGCACTCTTCTCTGTAAGTATCCCCTAACCTCACCCCTGTATGGGTCACACAGCCATGGGATGCCAGGCAAGGTGCCAGCCTTCCACTCATGAGAGTAGAAGTGCGAGGCTGGGAGTTGGTACATGCATTAGGACCTCTGTCGGTCCCACCTGGTTTGTGTGTGTCGCAAAGTAAAGACAGATCCCTTTGTCCTGAGCAGAAGGCTACAAACAGCAGAGCTCAGTATTCCAGGCTTCAGAGTTTACAAGGCCCTGCCCAGGTAGGGGACCCATAGGCTCCTGCTGAGGGGTTTCTTTTCCCACAGTATGGACAACAAATGGTCACATCAGCCCTGTGATAGAATTCTGGTGTGACTGAAAAGAAGTATGAAATATAAGTGACCTTTATTTTAAGAATGAGGGGAGAGATTCCCCCGACCTTCTGGGGTCTGGCATTATTCCCAGGGGCTGGCATTCTCTCCGGGGTCTGACAATCTCTTCTTTGGACACGTGGAGTGGAGGCATACATGTAGCATGGGTTTGGGGTGGTGCCTGAGGGGCATTAGTGATGGGCAGGTAGCCCTTTGGTATTTATTTCACACCACAGGTAAATTCCTAGGGGTGGGGAAGATAGAGCTCAAGATAGAGCCCTGGGTTCCGCCTCCCAGCTTCACCAGCTACAGTGTCCCAGCTAGGCCAAAATCCTTTCACGCTGTTCTTGGAGCTTTTCAAAAGTCTGCAGGGCAAGTGCAGAGTATGGAAGCAGAACTAAGGAGCCCTGTCCTTCCAGCTCATGGAGCCCTCTTGGGGCTGAGTGAGTTTGCTGCACTAACAAGGCCAGTTTGAAGTCTGCCTTGAGCTTTATGTCAGATGTGCTTTATTTCTGACCTGTAGGAGCCGATTTTGTTCTCTTGTTCCATTGCTGAGAATATCGCTTATGGTGCGGACAGCCCGTCCTCGGTGACTGCAGAGCAAGTCCAGAGAGCAGCGGAGGTCGCCAATGCAGCAGGGTTCATCCGGAGCTTTCCCCAGGGCTTTGACACGATGGTTGGGGAGAAGGGGGTGCTCCTTTCAGGTGCGTGGGTTTTAGATGTACTTTTTTTGTTGTTGGGTATGTGTTGGTTTCTGCTCCACAGCAGAATCCCTGTGCTCCAAGAATGCCCCACACTGCGTCCACCATACAGGTTGGATTTCTGTACCTGGAGTTAGGGGAGTAGCCTTGTGACTTTATCTCATACATGTAGGCAGCTTCCCAGTTGCCTTTGTATTCTACCCCAGCTTCCCTGTGGGTAGTTCTCAGCTACAGCACTTTTTTTTTTTTTTTAATCTCAGAAAAGATGTGTTTTGTAACTTGGGACCTAGAGAATTATAGAAAATGAGTCAGATATGATGTGGCTGGACCATCTGCCTGAGGAGGCAGAGACTACATTTCAAAGTTATGAAAAGTGTTCCTATATTCTCCAGTTTGTACTATGCATACTCTTGTTTGCACAGGCTAAGGCCCTTAATGAAAATGGTCAGAGAGTAAATATTTTAGGGCTTCTGGGCCACGTATCAACTTGATTACATGTTTTTGTGCTTTATTTATCTTGTAGCAACACTAATTTGGCCGGGGTAGCACAGACCTATAATCCCAGTCTGGAAACTGAAGCAGGAGGATTGAAAGTTTGAGGCCAACCTGGCCAGTTAAAAAGACCTTACCTTACTGGGCACTGTGGCACGTGCTGTGGTCCCTGCACAAAGGAGGATCATTGAGAATTTGAGGCTAGCCAAGGCTACATAGTGCATTCAAAGCCAGCCGGGACTAATAGTGAGATCCTGTCTCAAAACAAAACAAAACACAAAAACAGAAAAAAAAGGGTCTTGTCTCAAAACTTATAAAGGGCTGGAGATGTGGCTTAGTGGTAGAACCTTTGCCTAGCATTCCTGAGGCTCTGGTTTCAATCCCTCACACAACAAATAAATAAACCTTTTAAAATGTAAAGAGCATCTTAGCTTGAGAACTGTGTAAAAACAGACAGGACCTGAATCTGGCCTATAAGCCACAGTTTGTGATTGAGCTCAGAGCTGTAGGACAAAGGTTGCCTTTCTCCTGACTGTCCAGCAGATGGATTTGTGGCTTCCATGTCCTCAGGAAGGAAGGAGAAGTCTTGATTTGTATTACATTAGAACGTGTTGGTAGGACTAGTGTGTAAAGCTGAAAGGGAAATAAAGTCTTGGTTAAACACAGACTTTTATGAATATTGATAAAGTGACTCCCTACCTGGAAGTGTCAGGTGCCTGTGACAGTGTGCAGGCAATTGGTTAGAACACGCAGTGACCCTCCCTGCCTCTCAGGTCATCTTGCATTTGGACCTCTGAGAAGTAAAACAAAAAGGTTGAGTTTTGTTTTGTTTGCTTTGCTTTGAGACAGAGTCTCATTGTATAATCCAAGCTAATCTTGAATTCGCTGTGTAGTCTAGGCTGTCCTCAAATTCATGGCAGGTCTCTTGCCTTAGAGGGGATTACTGGCGTGCACCACCATACCTGGCATTGTGTATTTTTTTAAGCCAAAGATAGTACTAAGTTGATGGTTTTGGTGGACCTTGGACATTCCAGGAGTAAAATCATACCTTGCTGTGTGATAGTGACCAGCTGCTGCTTCTCTGAGACATGCCCTTAGGCAGAAGATATCAGCTTCAGTGGCTCCTGGTGGAACTGACTTAGAATGGCTTGTGTGTTCCTTCTCAGGTTCCGCTTCACAGCCAAATAAGCCACAGTTTTCATCTGTCTCTGTGTCTTGTGGGGAACAGGCACCTACGAGCAGGTCCCCAGCTCTCTGCTTGGTCTTGAGGACAATTCTAGGCCTAGAAGACTATGTGCTGGCCACTCCAGGGCCCTCCCCAGGCTCTCAGATATCCATGTTGATGGTTAGGGGCTCTCTCATGCACTGACTGCTGTGGAGAGCAATGAGCAGTTCATGGCATCAGGGTGTATGGCTATATGTGAGGGGCTTCCCCTGCATGAGTCATGCCCTGCCTGCAGTTTCTGCGACTGAGGATGCTTTGCCAACAGTCAGATAAAGGGAAGGCTCCACTACCAAAAAATAGAATAGCACACATAATGTATTTAGAAAATGCCTGCCACCAGGCATAGTGATGCACTCCTGTAATCCCTGAGCTTAGTGGGCTGAGGCGTATGCTACATAGTGAGTTCAAGGCTAGTCTGAACTATATGGTGAGACCTTGCTTTTAAAAAAAAAAAGAGAGAGAGAGAGAGAAAGCCAGCAGTCTTTGAGGCTGAGGCAAGAGGACTATAAAAGTTTGAGCCTAGACTGGGCACTTAGCTATTTGGTGAGACCCTATCTCAAAGTTTTAAAAGGGTTAGAGATATAGCTCAGTGCAGAGCCCCTAGGCTCAGTCCCACAAAAGAAAAGAGAAGAGAAAAGGTACTGGGGTGTGGCAAGTCCTCAATAAATGTTAGCTATGGGCTTTAAGTTTGACTATTGTATATATGCATTTATTAACTACTTTACTTAAAGAGTAGATTTTTTTTTTTTTTTTTGGTACCAGGAATCAAACTTGTGACCTTGCACTTGCCAGGTGGCAGGTGCTTATAATGCTGAGCTAAACCCCAGCACTAGAAAGTAGATTTTTGTTCAACTATCAATGTCCCTTGGCTAACTGGAAGAAGGCATCTTCAAGCTGCCATATTGCCATGTGTCTTATAAAAAAGACCTATTCCTAGGAAGTTCTGTTAAGGCTTTCTTTTTCAAATATTACTTTTGTTAGGTGGACAGAAACAGCGGATTGCAATTGCCCGTGCACTGCTTAAGGTAAGCCTGAAACCACTTGCCTTTTTAAAATTATTTTTTTATTTTTGTTTTTATTTATTTTTGTTTTTTTCGTGCCAGGAATCAAACTCAGGACCTTGTGATTGCCAGGCAGGCACTGTGCCACTGAGCTATATCCCCTTGCCTGGTTTTTAAGTATTGTTTTTAATTGGGATTTTAAAATTTACCTTCACCACCTCCTCCTCTCCTCCTCCTCCTCCTCCTCCTTCTCCCTTCCTACTCCTCCTCCCCTCCTCCTCCTCCTCCTGCTCCTCTTCCTTCTTCTTCTGCTTCTTTCTCTTCCTCTTCCTCCTCTTCTTCTTCTTCTTCATCTTTTTTTTTTTTTTTTGAGATAGTGGGTGTATGGTTGAGAATCTGGTGAATGATAAGTTGGGGGTTCCACTGAGGGTGTGCATGCAAATTTAATAGTCAGTATTGATTTTCCCAGAATGCTATGTAAAAAAAAAAAATAGTCAGTATTGAGTATTTCCTGGGTGTGAGGGCCCAGGGCTGTTATAAGGTGTTCAGGTGAGAAAAGTTTCACACATGGACAGGAAGTTTACTGTATCCAAACAACACAACAACATGTATGTGTATTACCAGGAGTCCAGGCTGAGTACAGATTTGAAGTTCTTAGACTCCCGTAGGAATGGGAAACACCTTATTAACTGAAGGTCCATTGTCCCACGTTGAAGGAAGTGACAGCCTTCTTCTTTGTTCTCCAGTGATTTTCCTCAGGTTTTACAGGTGATTTTTAAAAACAGCTTAAAGAGGCACAGTTCCCATGCTATAAATTGCATCCATTTTGCCCGTGCTTCACAGTGACTCTTCGTAAGCTTAGGGTTGATTATAAATACAATCCAATTTTAGAGCATTTCTGTTATTTCCTCCTGCCCATTTGTGGTCTGCCCTGTTCTGATCATCAGTCCCAGGAGGCCACGAATCTTTTTCTATTTGTCTAGATTTGCATTTCTAGACATTTCATAAAAATGTATCAGGCAGTGTGTGATCTTTGGCATCTGACTTCTGCTACTTAGTGTAATGTTTCTGAGATTTCTCCATTCTGTAACATGTTCAGAAAGTCATTCCCTGATATTGCTGGGTTGATGTACCCGCTTTGTTCATCCCTTCGCTGGTTGATCTGGGTTCTTTCCAGTTTGGGCTGTTGTAATAAGTAAACAAATGGTATCTATCTTTTTGTGGGGACATGATTTCATTTCTCATGGTAGATTTTGAGGCAAAACTAGAATTTAATGTGTATCAGCTTACTCTTATTTATTCAATTTTATATATTAGTTGGATATTCCTAAATCAACTATTTATAGGACTTTGAGAGTTTCAAACTATCTTACTCAATTCAGATTCCCATCTATACTCGCTCGCTCTTTCCTTTTTTTTTTTTAGACATGATCTTGCTGTGCGGTTCAGGCTGACCTTAAATTCACTTTGTAGCCCAAGCTGCCCTCAAACTCATGGCAATCTTCCTGCTTCAGCCTGCCAAGTGCTGGAATTACAGGTGTGCCACCATGCCTGGCTCTCTTTCTTCTTTTTTTAATTTTTTACATAAAAACCTATGTGAACTACAATGTAAACACAAACAAAAAGTCTACCACAGCAATAAACTTTATTTCACCTGTCATATCCAAGGCAGTCTTCATACATGACAACTGCACAATTGATTTACAAATGTAGCCTACAGGAACAGTACATGTGTTTTATTTTCCTGTACTTGTACTTGTAGGGCACAGTTGAGAATTTTTTTGTTTTCCTGTTGTAGTAGGTCTTTGTGATGCTGCACCTGCCTGTTTACCTGTCAGCTCATTAGTGTGCACCAATTTTTTTGTGTTGTTCCTTGCTATAAATGATCTTTTTTTTCAACCAGATTATATTGTTACATTTTAGATACATATTGCGATCACATCCATCATATAGATTTGTACATCATAAAACTTTTCTTTTTCCCTCATTTCCCTGCCTTCCCTTCAACCCCTCCAACACATCCTATTTACAGAAGTTTTGTTTCTATTTTTTCCTTCTTTTCTCATTTATTTTAGTTTTCCTTTCCCCTCTCCCTTTCCTTGTTTCCCTCCCCATTTGAACATTGTATTCCTACTTGACAAACTTTTTTTCTTTCTTTTTCTTTTCTTTTCTTTCTATTTTCTTCTTCTTCTTCTTCTTCTTCTTCTTCTTCTTCTTTTTGTTTTTGTTTGTTTTTTTGAGACAGGATCTCACTGTGAAGCATAAGTTGGCCTTAACTCATAGTGATTTTCCTCCTTCAGCCTCTTGAGTGCTGCTGGGATTACAGATACCTGCCACCATATCCAGCCATCACACTATTTCTTGATTCAGGACAGAACTATTGTGAATAGTATCCAGTCTGTTGTCACTGGGATAATGGCTTAAAGTTGTCTTCAACTCTTCGATCATGTCCTTATCTCAGACATTTGAGTCTTTCTTTTTTTCTTTTTTAAAAATTTTTTTTTGTGTGTGTGTCTTTTTCTTTTTTATTGGTACCAGGGATCGAACTCATGACTGCCTGCTTGCAAGACAGGCACTTATGCCGCTGAGCTAAATCCCCAGCCACATCTTTCTTTCTTTCTTTCTTTCTTTCTTTCTTTCTTTCTTTCTTTCTTTCTTTCTTTCTTTCTTCTTAATAGCTCTGTTGAAGCCAGCTGTTGTGGTGTATACCTATAATTCTAGCACTTAGGAGATTGAGGCAGGAGAGTCACCACCAAAGGGAGGCCAGCCTGGGCTACACAGTGAGACCTATGTCAAAAAAAAGCTCTGTTAACCAGGTCTGGTAGTGTACACCTGTAATCCCAGCACTCAGGAGGCTGAGGCAGGAGGATCGTTGCAAGTTCGAGGCCAGCTTGGATTACAAAGTAAGTTCAAGGCTAGCCTGAACTGCATAGTGAGGCCATCTCAAAAAGACAAAAAAAAAAAAAAAAAAAAAAAGGCTTTGTTGAGCTATAATTCATATGCTACATAGTTTACCCATTTAAGTACAATTTAAGTGGTTTTGGGGATGTTTAGAGTTGTGCCTCTACCACCATCAACTGTTTAGAATGGATGTCCTCATGGCCCCAGGCAGAGCCCCGAGTGGAGCCTCTTGTGTCCCCCACTGACTTAGCCCTGGGTGGCACTGATCTGTCTCTTGTCTACAAAGTGGCTGTTCTGCACATTTCACGCAAAAGGAATCACACAGTGCATGGCTGCTGTGCCTGGCTTCTTTCACTGAATAATACTGCCAGAGTTTATGTATACTGTGGTCTGCGTCAGAATGTGATTCCTTTTTGTTGCTGAAAATTAAGGGTTTTCTAGTAAAATAATGTTTTCTTTTAAATTGTTTTCCTTCTTCAGAACCCCAAAATTCTTCTCCTAGATGAAGCAACCAGGTAAAGCTGCCTCAATTCTCTGATGCCTTACTGATGTGTGTTTGGTGGTGGTGGTGGTATCTTAATAGCATGCATACGGGGGGTGTCATATATAGGGTGTGTTGGTGTGTGTGTTGGGGGTGTCTTAATAATATGCATGTGGCTGTACAATGTGTAATTGTACTAAAACAAATTATCTCTCTACCAAAACTGTTTCATCCTGTCATAAATAGTGATCAGTGATCATTGCTTAGTTCTTAATAATGTATGTAATTGTGTTAATCCAAATTGTCCCTTCAGGAAAACTTTTCGTTGTTATGGTTGGTGTGTTTTTGTTTTTGTTTTTTTGAGACAGGGTCTCACTATGTAGTTCAGGCTGGCCTTGAAGTCATTATGTAGCTAGCCAGGCTGGCCCAGGAACTCATAGCAGTCCTTCTGCCTCAACCTCAAACCCACCCACCCCACTCCAGCCCTGGGATTACAGGTGTGCAGCGCCACCACATCCAGCCAGGAAAACTTTTCTGTTGTTTTTCACAGTGATAGAACACAAAATGCTCCCCCCCCCCCCCGCCCAGGGCACAGTGATGGCACCTGGGTCAGCATGGCAATTGAGAGCATGGGCAGGCATCTATCTAGCTCTGGTTCCAGCACCCTGAGATAGAATCAGATCCTTCTGGTCAGCCTGGGTACTGAGGCTGGTGTGTTTCTGCACACTGTCTTCTTGCCCCAGCAGGTGATTCTGATCAAAGTGGAAGCTTATTGCTAGCTCGGGGCCTGTGAGAGTAGAGCAGGAGGTGCGTGAGTAACTGTGAGTGCAGCACTGATGTCTTTGCTTCTTCCTTGTGGCCTGTGTAGCGCACTGGATGCCGAGAATGAGTACCTGGTGCAGGAGGCCCTTGATCGACTGATGGAAGGCAGAACGGTGCTCATCATCGCCCATCGCCTGTCCACCATCAAGAATGCCCACCTTGTGGCCGTGCTTGACCAGGGAAGAATTATTGAACATGGGAAACACGAAGAGCTACTTTCCAAGCCAGATGGGATGTACAGAAAACTAATGAATAAGCAGAGTTTTATTTCAACATAAAGAACAGTTACTGAGAGAATCTTGAAATCAAAACAGCATTGCAGAAAACAATTTTAAGAGACTTTATGAAATCTGTAAATGATACTTCAAGTTATTTGAAATATGCCTATTTTTTCAAAGTATATAAACTATTACCTCAAAATGTATTTGTTTTCAAGATCTTTTTATTCAGATTTTTAATAATTATACATTTTTAAATGTCTATAGGACTGAATTTATTTTCAGGTTTTATACTTCCTTTTGTTTTGCAATATTTTAATTTTAATGTAGCATGTCACCTCATTTCCTTTTGCCTACTGTTACAGAATTAGGCTGTTTTTAAAAGGGAATTATAAATCAAAATGTTACTTACTTTAGGGCAGGTACCAATCACTGTGACCCATCTACTTTGGTCTAATTTTATTAGTTAGGAGAGCAGAAAAATGAAAATCTAACCCTTCCTTGTATCTTCATAATCTCATGAAGCAAACTGGAGTAAAAACAGAAACAATTATTGTCAGGTGAAGAGAAGGAAACATTTATATTGCCCATTTCCTACATCTTCAGAGGCATTTTTGTTTGCATGGAAGAGGACCATGTTTGAATGTCTGCAGTTCTCAACATTTTGGCATATGGAAGCCTGATGAATTTTTAAAAGAGAAGAAGCCCATTCTTTCCCCATGAAAGCTTCTGTTTTCTTTTTTTCTCTTGAGACAAGGTCTTGCTATGTAGTCCAGACTTTGAACTCAGTATATAGCCCAGGCTTACCTTGAACTCCTGGCAGTCCTTTTGCTTAAACCTTTAGAATGCTAGGATTACAGGCATGTACCACTATACCCAGCCTTCATTCACATACTTGTTTCTGTACTTTTAGAAAGCAAGTCATAGATTACCAGGTATTATCAAGAAAGATGGCTGAAGCTGGGTGGTGTGGTATATGCTACTTGGGAGGCTGAAACAGGAGGATCATAAATTTGAGGTTATTTTGTGTCAATTTAGTGAGATTCTATCTCAATTTATAAAAAGGGCTGGGGATGTAGCTCAGTGGTAGAACACTTAACTTAGCATGCACAATGGTCTGGGTTCAATCTCCAGCATTACCCCTCAAAGTAAATTTTTACATTTGAACTGTCTGAGATACATATATTGAAAATTGTCTTATTTACAAACTTGTAATTCCTCCACATGTAAATTTTATCTTTTATAATACTTTAAAATTTTTATTAACAGAGCTAAAGCCCAAATAATATCACTAATTTTCAGCTCTTTTGGGGGGAAAGGGGTCTAGCTATGTAGTTCAGACTGGTTTTTTAACTCACTATGTAGCCCAGGCTGGCCTCACACTTGCGTGATCCTCCTGCCTCTGCCTGCCAAGTGCTGGGATTACAGGCAAACACTACCACAACTGGCTAATTTTCAGCTTTAAGACATTTAAGAAACATTTAGTTTGAAGTTCTTACTACTCCACGGAATAACAAGGAACCTTTAAAAATATGCCACTCTCCTGAAAGACACTGGTAGTCTGGTTTTTTCTATTTATGATTATAGGTTTTTTTTTTTTGAGACAAGGTCTCACTATGTTGATTATTGTTTTATTTATCTAAATATCTCATAATTCCTAAAGTGTTGCTGGTAACCATTGACTTTGCCAGATTTTGTATCAGTGATGTTAATTTGGTATTGCCTCAAGGAAAAAGGCTTTCCTAACGTTGATGATGCCAGCGCCTGAGAAGCAGTTATCTTGATACAGTTAAAGAGGAGTCTTACCACGCCCTCAGTGACTATTGGCTTCTGATTGTACTGGGGGAAGGAACCAGTGTCATGAGAAATGTGGAGTGTTATACTTCATTCCACATAAGAGAACTTACAGGTAAATGAAGTGCATTCAGTAAATGAGAGAATGTAGTATTGTTTGAGTGAGTAAACAGTACATCTATGCCAACCATTTTAATAGGCTTTACATGTGTTCATTACATAGTTTGTTATTATAGTATGGTTGTCAGAAGGCAAACAAAGCACAATACTAAGTCAGATATAAGGGAGATCTCTTTGTTCCACAAAATATTTATAAAATGGAATTTGATCACTATATTTTGTTTTCTAATATGTGTCTTTAACAATTTATATCATAGATTAAAATTTATAGTAAACTTTGTGTCTGCTGCTTCTTGTAAAACTTTGTGCTACATTCAGGTTCTAACTAGAATTTTCTATGGACATTTAGGAATAAAGAAAAATCTAATAGCACAAATACAGAAAAGTGAGTAGTAATTACAAGCCCCATTCCCATGCTGCTTATCAAAGATTGGATTGTTAATGTGCTGTTTCTTTTCTAGTATTTAGATTCTGTCTGGTCGCCTCAGTTCAGTAAATAAGCATCACCTGCCCCCACCATGCTCAGGAACCATGTTGTGGAGTTGACCACAGCGGGGGAAGGCAGTGCCTGTCCTCAGGGCTACTTTTTTTATTTATTTATTTTGCCTTTTGAGACAGAGTCTCGTTATGCAGTTTGGGCTGGTCTTGAGCTCATTTTGCAGCCCTGGCTGCTCTCAAACTTGCAACGATCCTGCCTCAGCCTCCCAAGTGCTGGTATTATAATGTGCTACTGTACCTGGCTCGGGGTTTTTATTTAAAAGAAGTAAAGCAAGCAAAATTAGTAACAAAATTAGTAACAAGATAATACCCAAATGCATCATATTTTAGCCCATGATTAAGTGTCCAAAGCATTTAAATGTTGCTATGTTTGATAGTCCTAGAAGTTAGACAAATTATGTGTCATCCAATTTCATGGGCCAGGAAAGACACATAAGGAAATTAATTCAATTAAGTAAATTCAGTCATTGTCGATGGTATATATAGTTTAAGGTAAAGAATGGGGAGAGAAATTATTGGAGAGAGAAGCAGAGCCAGATCGTGTCATGCTTCATTGCTGTGCTGCGTTTCTTACTTTGTATCTGCATGCTTGGAGGGTCACTGAGGATATGTGTGTTCATAGAGACACTTTAGAAAATAAGAAGGAACTGTAAGTCACCCGAAGTCTAACCCGTGGAGACGAAGTTTCATATTGCTGAGTTTGGGGTTACGCTGTACACTCTTCGTGGTATATGCTATACAACTTCACTTTTTTCTGTTCTGGGTCTTTCCTGACTTCCCAGACAAAATACCTAACACTCAATTTCCTAATAGGGCCTCAGGAAATCATAAGTTAGATTACTGATGTCAAACCCTTGCAAATATACCTTTATAAAATAGAGGTTTAACAAGTCCATTTTATTCCATAAAAAGAGCAAAGCTGATAAAAGTAAGACATAAATATTACAAAACAGTAAGCATATAATTAAAGTGTGAAAAACACATAAAGCTATTGCAGGGTTTTGTAAGCTGACTTCAGCCTCTTTTTGTGTGGTGAAGAATGGTTTTTAGTTTTTGGTGGTAGAAAAGCCAAAAATATTTCACAATTCATTAAAAATACATGAAATTCAAATCTTAATGTCCATAAGTAGATTTTTATTGGAACACAGCTACGTTCATTGATACAGGAATTGTCTGGCTGCTTTTGCCCTTCAGCTGCAAAGGGCAGTTATGTGACAGACTGTGGCTGGCAAAATCATACACTTGAGGGAGTTTGCTGAACTCAGAGCTGAGGGGAAAATACACACACACACACACACACACACACACACACACACACACACACACTGAGATAGGGTCTTGCTATAGAGTCCAGGCTGGTCTTGAACTCACTATGTATCCCAGGCTGGCCATGAACTCATAGCAGGTTTTTTGCTTCAGCCTCCCAAGTGTGGGGATTACAGGTGTGCACCACTATACCCAAGTGAGGCAGAAATTTTACGATGTACTTGAGAAAGTGTGAGCAGTAAGGGAAACAATACACATTATTTCCTGGGACAGGAAACATGCTTCTCTTAATGGGGTGAAAACTCCAGAAGACATCCCACTCCAAAGAATACTAGCCCATTCTATGCAGGGGCCACAATATTTTGTGTTTTTTTGTAATTTAAACATTCTCTGGATTCTCTCAACAGACTCATTTATCTTAAGATCAGTCTCCTGCTCTTTACTTTCTTAGTTAAGCCAATTTATGAGCTTTAAGTATTCCTGAGGAATTTTGGGTATGCTGAGCCTGGTAGGAAAGTAGCCTATATATGGGGATGTAGATATGGATTCCTGAAGGATCTTTGCAGTCATCTCAAGTCATTGCAATCAGAAGAGAATTTGATGATACCCTGAAAACATCAAGTGTAGATGGTTTCTTGGCAGGTTCTTCATGTTCCCCTGCCCTTCCATTCTAACGTCTTGATTACGATACAGCCAAGCCTGGGATCCTAACTGTACCTTAATTACTTTCTCGCCAGGACAAAATACCTGATACCCACAAGTTAAAGGAGGAAAAATTAGTTCATCTCAATTTATAGAGGTTTCAGTCCATAGTTGTCTGGCTCCAAGGCAGGGCAGCATGGCAGGGGAGAAACACTTCATGGCAAGTCAGGTAGAAGGTAGCAGTTTTTGTTTTCCCTTTTTATTTTGTTTAGGCTACAAGCTTGTTGGTTGGTGCCATCCATACCCAGCGTAGGTCTTTTCTCAGCAGTAAATCCATCATTCACACCCAGAACTATGCTAAAACAATCAGTGGACTAATTCAGTATCACATATTCATGATCTAGTTACTCCCCAAACCCACACCTATGAGTGCATGAAGCTTCAGGAGGACATCTAGATGTAAACCATAACACAGTCCTACCATGTCTGCAGGACACAATTCTGTTTTCCTTTTGTCACTGTAATGTTTAGTGCCACGTAAGTCAGTGTTTGGTTTTAACTGTAAGGATGGTGCCTTGGGAAGGATGTAGAGGAAAGGCACATTGCCAGGAGGAGCCTGATCTGGGCATCTCACACTGGTACAGGTGTAAATGGTGAGGTATTTTCCTCTTTAACAAAATTTAAATGGGCCTATATTACATGTGGGGGAAATAAAGCATCCTCCCACCTTAAGCTCACAGCCAAGTTCTTATATAACAAAAAGATTAACAGGAGAAAGACATAAATTTATTCAATGTTATTTCCTGTGACATCAGAGCCTCAGTAAAATGACCCAAGCAGTAGGGAAACTTGGGCATCCTCTGTTTGGGTTTGATGAAGTACGCTAAGGGACAGAGGTGTGCTCAGTTTTGACAATGAAGACACTCAGTAAGGCCTGTCCATTTTTCTGTGTCCCTGTGCTTCAGAGATAAAGATGTTCCTTTCCTTGAGGTACAGGGGAGCCTCATGAAGGCCTTGTGACTTGCTTAGGGGAGAAGGGCAGGAAGTTGGAGAATGAATTTTCTCTTTTTTCTTTCTTCTCAAATGCCAAGGTGCCAAAGTTTGGTGTAGTGTACTGTTTTACTATTCTCTCATTGCCCAGACAAAATACCTAACACTCAAAGTTAAAGGAGGAGAGGAACAAAACCAAATCTACCAACCCATCCTTAACATGACTACTCTCCATCTCTTATCTCACACTCTTATTTAACAGGAAAGACTGAAAGGAGGAGAAAATGCAGTTTTAGGAGCTGTAAGATTCAAAGCCAAGCTGTAAAGATCAAGATAAACCCACGTGGAAGAAAGTAAGAAAGATGACTGGGGCCATGAATGTGCACAGACTGGCTTCCAGAGAAGTCAACAACACCCAATACACTTGCCTCCCACAAGAGGATTTACTCAACCAGTGTTTACTTAACTTTATTTCTACAAAGATGTAGTAAGAGTTGGCTATGTATGTGTTATGGTGTTCACAAAGGTAACATGGCCAAGGTCTCTTCTGTGAAAACATTTAAAAATAGCCCCATCAAGAGAGACTGCACATGCCTATAATCAAAGACCATGAGTTTGAGGTCTGGTTGGGTTACATAGTGATTCAGAGCTAATTTGAACTACAGAGCTAAACGTCTCAAACAAAAAAGTAGCTTCCCTAGCAGGGCACGATGCACACACCTGTAATCCTAGCACTTGGGAGGCTGAGGCAGGACTGCCGTGAGTTCAAGGCCAGCTTGAGCTACATGGTGAGTTCAGGACCAGCCTGAATTCCACATAGTGAGACCCTGTCTCAAAATACAAAAATTTCAGGGGACAATTATGAACATAAAGTCCTTAAGCCAAATACAACATTCTAAACAGTCTACATATAAGAGTGGCCAGGACAAAGGATAGAGGAACATCCAGCTCATAGGAGGCTCGCTCCACTGAGAAAGCAGCACTGAACTAAGATCTGATGCACGAGGTAGCTGCCTGCCAGACAGCGGGTAGACACAGGGTACCCAGGAAAAAAGTAACGTGCGAGGAATTGAGAGTTGGAGCTTTTATATTCTTGGACCCATGAAGTTCAAGTGGAAAATGGTGGAAGAACAGGGATTGAAGAGCCAGTCAGGTAAATCACGGAAGGCTTCAGCAAATAACATATGGTCAGTGGTCAGCCAGTAGAGTAGTGCTAAGTCCTAGAACCCAACCGTCCTGGCTCCTTGGGTGGCGGTGGGGAGGACAGACGAAGACTGGACAGGAGCCCCTCCGAAGAGGCTCCGCAATGGTATAAGAAAAGACGATTGGCCGTGCCGGACAGGGCCGTGCAGATAAACGATCTTCTAGGTTGTTCGGGAGCTATACAGCTCTGGGCCGCGGGCTGATTCTAGAACACAGCCTCTCGGTAGGCCAGCTCCTTTACGCTGGACTGCTCTTAGCAGGATCGAAGCTCCATTAGGAAAGCGTGAGCTCGGATGTGAACAATAAGCCACTATGAGGAGGGCGCAAGACGCTGGGTGTGGGCTGGGCACGCGGGTCTGGGGCGTCAGGAGCTCTGCGGAGCGTCGCGAAAGAGAACTCAGAACCGATTTAACAAGCTGTGAAGGCAAGTCCACGGCACGCATCTTCTTCTTCGGACCGCGGACGCCTCTCTGGACCCACCTTTGTGTCCACGCCACGGCCGCTAGGCCTCACCTGCGCACACCAAAAGGGCGCTTCTCAGTTCTACGCTTTCTCCTAAGCTCGGACCTCAGGAAGGCCTCAGACGCAAGCCACCAAATGCTAAGCTGAAAGTTTTTGACATCAGGGATTCTCACCGGCTACCTGCTGACCACGCCCCTCAGGTCGGCAACGCTTAACGTCACCGTGTGGCGCCCGTTCCGCTCAGACCACGCCCAGCAGGTTGGCACAGATCTTTGGCGTCATCGCCGCACGCCTTCCTGCTCTAGCTCCAACCACGAACCTCGGCGTGACGTTGTGTTTGTACGTCATCTTTATGCGCCTTCCCGCCTCTTGAGTGTTCAAGCTCATGGCGCGCGAGGACTGAGCTACTTTGGACCCTGCCCTAGCTCGTTCGCCGCTAGCTCCCCGCGATCATGTTCCCGGGCATCCCTTCCCCACGGACCCCGGGTCCTGGATCCCGAAGGCTTCCACTGGTCGGAATTGGGCCGAATTCAACGCCCCGTGCGGCAAGCCGGAGGGGGCAGTCCTTGGGTTCTGCGGTCTTCTCTCCGGTGCTTTTCTCTCCCGTATCACGGCGCAGCTCTCTCAGTTCGCGGTAAGTGATCGCCAGTGGCTGGGTCAAACGACAGCCGACTCTAACATGAGGAAGGTTAGTTGCTGGAACCAGGGCAGTGCGGGGAGGGCTGCTCAATCTTGCAAGATTTTTCACTTTCGCATTGATTATGTTATCAAGTGAACTCTCATTTTGCACTTTAAGTGTGCTGCAAAACAAGATTCCAACAAATTGAGTTATACAGTCGTTCTATTTGGCTTTTTATTTGTGATTTACGAATCTTCGCAGACTACGATATAGATACATTATTATTTGTGCTGCTGAAGCGAGCAAGTTTGTGGTATAGATATGGGCAGTAGCAGAACAGTGAGTTTTGTAAGGTGTAAGCAAAGAAACCACACAATAGACCAAAAAAAAAAAAAAAAAAAAAAGAAAGAAAGAAAGAAAAAGAAAACAAACCACAAAACCGTGACCAGGTAGCACAGTTACCTTGGGTTACCTTGTTGTAAGATAAAGCAAGGGGATTTCTTGTTTTCAGAGCAGTTCTGTTATGTGGCACCCAAGGCTAAAGCAGAGAATAAGAACAAATGGATCTACTTGTCCAACTATAAAAGAAGCCACCAGTACAACTTGAACAATTGCCTTAGGATGTTAAGATCTCTTAAGTCATGTAAAGATTTGGGTTTGATGTCATATTACCCCAAAAGATTACTAATTGTGAAAGCCTAATTACAGTATTATTCTTTCTAGTGAAAGCAGTAGGCATAAGCAAGGAAGAATTAAGAGAGATTAAGTAGTTCATTACAATGTAGAGTTTATTTTAGCATCTTGGGCAAAGTGCTCACAGCATGACATTGTTGAGTTTTTATCGTGTCTTATAGTTTGTTTGTTTTTTTCCTCTGTCTCTGTCTCTCTCTCTTGACAGGATTTCACTGTGTATTTCAGACTGACCTTGAACTTACTATGTAGTGCAGACTGGCCTCAGATTTGCAGAAGTCCTCCTGTCTCAGCCTCCTGAGTGCCACGATTACAGGTGTGTGCTACCACACCCAGCTTTGGTTTACAGTTTGAACATCTCTGGTCATGGTGTTATGTGATTGTGATTGGTGCACTCACATCAAGCACAATACTTGTCCCTTGAATTTGCATTGAGTTGCACAGCTTTGGCTTATGGGGATTCATGAGCAGAGTAATTTTTACTATTAGTGATTTCATTTGCTAAAATCTTAGAAAATTTAGGATCCAGTGAGGTTTGGTGGTACACACCTGTTATCACAGCATTCTGGGAAGCTGAGGCAAAAGGATCTCAAGTTCCAGGCCAGCCCAAGCAACACAGGGAGACTGTTCCAAAAAATTAAAAGGGGCTGGTGATGTACTTAAGTTCAAAGGCCTTGGGTGCAATCCCCAGGCCTCCTTCCCCAAGATTTCTAGCTATCTTATACAATGTTTGGAACATTTGTCTCAATAATACAGTCATAAATATATCTAAAAGAAGAAATAATGGCATTTATTATTTGTTGTAGACTTCCTGTATAACTTAATGTTTCTTTTACCAGATGAGAAACACATCTTTGTAGTTTTCCAGAGACTCAATTGAAAAATTCTAATGTTAGTTCAGTGTTAGAAAGATTTGATTTCGAATTTGATTTTGGGAAGTTTGTCAAAAAATATCAAAAGGTTTCAAACAAATATGATCTTGGTTGTTGATTTAGTCAAGGTGACAATAAAAGATTTTTTTTGAGGCAGATTTGTTTACATTGATGGGCACTGATAAGAATCACTCCTAAAATACCAGGCTGACAGTGAAAGGTTTTAAAGGCAGAGACAGAAAGTTACCTAATTGTGAGCAAAAACTTAGTTCGTTTAAAAAGCTGAGATGAGGGGCTGGGGATTTAGCTCAGCGGCATAAGCGCCTGCCTTGCAAGCAGGCAGTCGTCAGTTCGATCCCTGGTACCGATAAAAAGGAAAAGGACAAAAAATAAATAAATAAAATAAAAAGCTGAGATGACTCAAGTACTTAAAGCCAGAGAGACGAGGTGAAACACAAGAAATTACCTTGAGAAAACAACATTTTTATTTCTGAGGCCAATTATTTAAAAGGAAAAAGCTTTACATTCTCAGAATTCTGCATTTTGGCCTGGTTATTTGAGACCTACTTCAAGAACTCAGTCCAAAATTGTACTGTCCAATAATTTTTTATTTAACAGTTTCCACCTTTTGATTAAGATCCCAAGTAAGTGAGTGGGACCAAAGCTAATAGCATTAGTGCTTTAGCTAATTCTGTAACACTGTCATTTTAACAGAGAAGATCAGATTCTACTTTTGCCTTAGTATACTAATATTAAAGCTGATCTTAATAAAACTTGATAAGTAAATCTAGTGTAATCCCAGTTGGCAGTAACTCCACAAGATTTCCACATACTTTTTATAGCTTCCTTATACATACAGTTTTTGCTTGTACCTTTCCTCTTTCTCATTTTGGACAGACCAGTCGCCATTTTGTTTGTCTTTTTCTTATCCAAATCATGTTTTCTATACCTCATATCTTTACTTTAAAAAAACATATCTTCCCTTGCAGGTGGACTTGTTTCCTTCATTATTCCAAGTCCTATGACTAAGTAGGTATGTGGTATACCTTTGGTATGGGATAACCTTAATTTCTAGTGAAAGGATAGGAAACAAGCTTGTCATAGACCACCATTTTTTTTGCTGCTGCTGCTGCTGCTGCTTTGTTTTGCTGAGACAGAGTTTTACTATGTAATCCAGGCTGGCTTTGAACTTGAGTTTATCCTCCTGTCTCAGTTTCTCAAGTGCTGGGAGTGCAGCTACCGCACCTGCCTTTTTGTTATTTTTGAGACAGGGTCCAAGCTGACCTCAAACTCAGCTTCCTATATTAACTTCTTCAGTGCTGAAATTATAGGACTGTACCGGTATGCTCAGTTTGTCATATATCAACATACACAGTGTGCTTTGTAAGGATGCATTCTTGAGGCTGGAATGTGACCTAATGTCACTAACCTGTCTGTGTCCACTTTGTCCTAACACAGGAGTCTTAGTTTTTGGTGGCAATTGCTTTCATAGCTCTTAAGGTGTTTGACCTCTGTCTACCAGTGAAGTTGTGGCTTTGGCTCTCAGATCCCTGTACTAACCTGGCCAACAACTTTCCCTACTTTAGCACATTAGAAAAAGAAACAATGTAGAATGTGCAATCTCTGATTTCCATCTGGTATTACTTTTTTGGAGAAGTGAACAGCAGATGCAGACATAGTAATAACAACCTCTAACCCTGGCAGGCTTGTTTTTCATCCCAAAAATATCAGCTGTCTTTATATCTGCTGAATGGTAAGTAATGGGCTGTTGGCTACAGAATTTCACGTTGTAGCCAGATTATGGGGAAGAGGTCTCCTTACAGTGAGGTTTTGTTATTAGAAGTACTGGAGCACCAGTCTGCATTCCAGCAAAGTCATGCCACCTGTCCCTGGAGTCCATGGTGACTGGGAAATTTCAAAGGCAGGAAGCATCTGATTGTGAACACTTTCCTTTGGGTTCATCTGTGAGAAAGGAGTTTTTCTTGTCAGGAAGGCAGCAAATGTTGAGTCTTAAATTTAGGATTAAAAGTTATCTATAGAAGTTTGTACTACTTTAAAGGAGAAATGACTTTTTAAGAATATACTATGTTCTTGACTTTTACATTTTGAAAAGTGCCCTTCAAAAAGCTAATCCCGTGTTTTGTTTCTTTTGAGAAAAGCAGAACGAAAGCCATACTTTGCATTAGGTGTGTGTGTTAATCTTTAAAAATTTTTTTTCCCTACCTTCTGGTGATCATTTTTTATTTTGTTTCTTTCCAAATCCATTTTGTTTCAAGGAAAAAAAGAAAAAACTAAAAAAATTTCAAAACCCATCCATCAGGGGGCAACAGTGTTACATATACTGAGCATTGTCATCTCCAAATCATTTATCCAGAGCACAAGACATCTGCATTCAATTGTCTGAATAAGACCAGCACAGATCTGTCTCTTCAGCCAACTCCGAGAAGTCAGTATATAACTATCTTAACTATAGTTTTATATACATAGACATACACATATACATGTGTTATTTCTTTCAGCTCATAGTGAGACAATATGATGTTTACACGTGTGTCTTATGTATTTCACTAATGAATATGGTCTCAAGTTGTATCCATTTACCTATAAAAGTCTCCATGTTACCCTTCTTTATGGCTGAGTAGTACTCCGTTGTATAAAAATATCACATCTTTTTAATTCAATCCTAAATGTCATTGGACATTTAGGTTGTTTTTAAGATTTTGCTATTAACAAATTGTGCTGCTATAAACATGGGTGCACATATATTGCTGTGGTATGATGTTTTAGTTCTTTTGTTTCGTTTTAGACAGGGTCCAGTGTTTTTAATTCTTTGGGGAAGATACCCAGAAGGGGAATAGCTGGGTCAAATGGGACCGGTAGTCCCAGTTTTTTGTGGAATCTCCACACTGATTTCCACAGTGATTGCACCAATCTTCATTCCCACCAGCAATGGAGAAGGGTTCCTTTTTCTCCACAGCTCCTCCAGCCTTTGTTATTGTTTGATTTCTTGTTAATAGCTGTTCTTTCTGGGGTGAGATGGGATCTCAGTGTTTTAATTTGCATCTCTTGAATGACCAGTGATGTTGAACATTTTTTCACATATTTATTTGCTGTTTGTATTTCTTCATTTGAGAAGTGTGTATTCATCTCAGATGTCCATTTTTGCATTGAGTCTTTAAATCTGTGAGGACTGATTTTCTTGAGTTCTTTACATGTTCTTGATGGTAATCCTTTGTCTGAGGTACAGCTGGCAAACATTTTCTCCCACACAGTGGGTTGTCTCTTTACTCTGTAGTAGTTTCTCTTGCTGTGTAAAAGTTTTTCAGTAGGGTAAAATCCAAGTTGTTGATTCTTTGTGATAGATCCTGTGCTGGTGATCATTTAAAGAAGCACCTTTGTTAGGGTGCTCCACCAGGAGACAAAATCCTTGATAGTTTGGTATATACCTTCTCCTTCAGTGCCTTTTGGGCAGGAGGTTTTGCTAATGATCCTGTGTTGTTTGGAGTCCTGAGGAAGGGTAGGAGAAACGGAGCCCGTCATGCCTGTCTGTGTAGAGATCAGCATCTCGAGCTCTGTTCATTTTCTTGTTTTTGTTTGCTGCAGAGGTCTGGTAGATCTTATGTTCTCACAGCTGGATGGAAACTTGAGGGCCACCCGCTCAATGTCTGTGGAACAGCTGTGACAACATATGGTAGGGGCTGTGTTTTACTTTTCAGATATATTGGTTGAGACCCTCCAAATGGTTCTCAGTTTGAAAAACACTGATTTTAGGCCAGATTTCGTATTTCACAGTAAGGAGTAGAGTGATGAGGAGTTCAAGTGAATAAAAGGTTTTTTTGTTTGTTTGTTTGTTTGTTGTGTTTTTTTTTTTTTTTTTTTTTTTTTTTTTTTTTTGAGGCAGGGTCTCACTGTGTTGTTCAAGGCAGGCTGGCCTTGAACTTGCTTATGTATGTAGCTCAGGCTGACTTCAAACTCAAGTGATCCTTCTGCTTCAGGCTCCAGAAGCTGGGATTACAGGTGTTTACTGCCATGCCTGCCTCTAAAGTGAATAAAGGTATGCACCTGATTTCTGAGCATAGACAGGGTCTGAAGCCATGTCACTATTTTTTTTAAGTGAAAAATATAGTAAACATGAACTAGTGTTTTTTCTCTCCAGTGTTGTAAATCATTTTCTTGTTTATGAGAAATCTCTTTATTATATAAATAAATACATAAAAAACTAGGATATTGTAAAATTTTAAGTTGTAAGTAAAGTGATGTGGTTTCTGTTTTTTAGAGGAACTCCTACACGGATATTACCACACCACTCCATAACTGAGACTGTGAACTATGATGTGAGAACAGTTGGATCATCTCTTCCTGTTAAGGTCATGGAAGCCCTAACATTAGCGGAGGGTAAGTACTGTTTTTCCTTTTGCCTCTGTTAGCAGATCAAAACCAGGCCTGATCTGGTATAGACACTGACATTTGGGCTTTTTACTAGATGGAAAGAAACAGGTAGCCTGTCTACTTTTTCACTGTAATTGAGATACACAATAATTCAAGAAGCAGAATTATAATACACTTACATTAAATCTTTAGTGATTCATTTTTATCTTTAGTGATTTAAAGTATTGTTTGTACAAAATTTGATTGCATTTCAAAAGTTAATTAGGAATATGAAGTTTAGTTCTAAAAGTACCTCTAAAACTAGAGCCTTAAATTATTGAGTTTAATAATGCAATACAGTCATTTCTGGATGTGTGGTATCACGAGGCTGCGAGCATGAATTTGTGACATTACCAATGTAGGGTACAGCTAGACAATCCTGTGGGCAGTGGAAAAGGACAGAGGTTTGGAGGGAACAGACAATGCGCCTACGCAGGTGACATGAAGAGTGTGAAGTTGGGTGATTTCGGTGATGCAGCCTTACAGTTCAGTTTCCTTGGCATCTGTGTGAGTCATTTCATGAAGGACTCAACTCTGGGCCTCTGTGCTTTTGTTTCATTTTGTTGAGACAGGTCTCACTATGCAGGTCAGGCTGGACTTGAACTCACTGTGTTACCCAGGGTGGGCTCAAATTTAACAGCAATCCTTGTGCCTCAGTCTCATTTGTGCTTTTCTGGTATAGTGTTTTTCAAATTGTAGGAGTAACTGAAGTCAATTTGGTCGTTCATAACCAGCATAAAGAAAGAGAGAGAAGAGATAATTTAATTAAAAATTGAATTTAAAATTTCTTATTGTGATTAGCAATAAAAAAGTTTAAAGTAATCCATGCTAAAAGATGGAATATAGCCAGAAGCGTTGGCACATGCCTATAATCCCCGCACTGTGGGAAACGAGGCATTTTGGTGACTTAAAGAGACCCACACTCAAAATAAAAATGGCTGGGGATATGGTTTAATGTGAAGGTCTGGGGTTTAGTCTCCAGTACCAGACAAGCAACAAACAAAACAACCACAAAAGAAGGAATATTCCTTGTCAGCATGAACATGCACATCTTGGTTGCTGATCTTTGGAAACTTTAAGGATAGTTGTTTTCAGGCAACTAAACTGCTAACCTGTATTATACATTGTTTCGTTAAAAAAGAAAAAACATGTATCTATCCCCCCCCCAATTTCACTTTAAATTGCTTTTAATCTTTCTATATACTCTTTGTTCATGCCACTAAACTGGTCAGTAAGAGTACATAGCCTCAAATCTCAGAATTCGAAAGCACAAGTCTCTAGAGTTAGGAAGTACAAATTGAAGAATTTAAATGTGACCTCTTGTTGATGTAGAAAATCATTACCAAGGACTGCATTAAGTCAGGCTTCAAGGCTCACCACCAGGAACCTGAACTTTGAGGAAAAATGACACAACTGAGTATCTAGTCCAGTCCAGCACAAGGCCCACTTGTAGCCTGGGAGTAGCTGATGTTTTCACTCATACATTACTGATGTCTTGTATTTTGCCTCTGCACCCTGCCTTTAAACAAGGAGCAATCTCAAACTATTTAAGGTTCCAGGGCTGTTAACGTGTTTATGAGGGCTTATTACCATTGCTTGAGACATGGCTGTACGTTAACCTCATTTTGCCACAGTTAATAGAGGAGTTTATTTGTATTTGTGTATTAGTAAAATTATAAATGTAGTGAAATAGTTCTCTTTTTCTTGGTGGTACTGGGGATTGAATACAGAGTTGTCATCAGTGTCCCCCCCCCCCCCCCCCCGGCTGCTGTCACTGAGCTACGATCCCTATCCCCCCCCAAAGCCCCTCTGCTTTTTTTTTTTTTTTTTTTTTTTTTTTTTTTTGAGACAGGTCTCACTAAGTCAGTAAGTTACCCAGGCTCAGTTTAAACCTGTGATCTTCCTTTCTCAGCCTCCAAGAGTACTGGGATTACAGATATGTACTGCCATGCCTGGCGTAACTATTTTTTACAGAATAGAATATTTAACTATTCTTATGGAAGATAAGATATTTGTTTATAACAGAATTTAAGGTGTATCAAACCTAGGCCAAAATGCAGTTTTTTGATGTATTTCTGTTTCATCTATTAAATAGATCTCTTGTTTTGGGTGTTAATAGTTGTCTTGGTTACTTTTCTCTCACTGCTGAGACAAAATACCCAACACCTAAAATTAAAGAAGGAAAGGTTTATTTAGCTCACAGTTTGTGGAGGTTTCAGTTCATAATCAGCTGGGTAGCATGGCACAGGGGCAATAGTTCATTGTGGCAAAAGACAACAAAATAACAAGAGCAAAGGGAGGACAGAATAAGTCTGTTCTCCCTTATATTATAAGCTGCTAGGGCAGGTGTTGCACTTATACCACATCTGTTTTCCTCTTCTGCTGATGTCACCTTTTGGTGAGCATTTACATGAGAAACAAATTTTTTTTTTTACCGATACCAGGAATCGAACTCATGACCACACGCTTGCCAGGCAAGTGCTTATGCTGCTAAGCTAAATCCTTAGCCCTAAGAAACAAATATTTTTACATCCTCTGCCCACATGGAGAGGTTTACTCTACAGCCCAACCCCAAATATCTGTCACCAATTTCCATTTGTGCTCCTTCCAAGTTCCTGACCATCCAGCCAGACCATTTGCTACTGTCCATGAATCTGTACAGTCGCCCTTCTGGTCATTTCTCCGGCCAGGCAAATGTACTACCAAGTGCACTGCCTGAAGTTCCACCCACTGTATAGATTTCTTTCACCAGAAAGGGGCTGTAATGCTGTAGCTGTCCACTTGCCAGTGGTACCTGTGTAACATGCAGAACCATCCGTAAACCAGGCCCTAGCCTTCTTTTCTTCCAACAGTTGATCATAATACCTCACAAGGCCATAGATGCATGCTGGGAAATAGAAGGCATAGGCATCTGGACAACTTCCTCATATAATTTACTTGTACCAGCTGAACCTGCTCTGGCTTGCTCATGAATATACCACTTCCATTTAATGATTGACTGTTGCTGTGCATGTCCAACTTTATGACTTGGTGGATCAGATAATACCCAGGCCATGTTAGGCAACTAAGCTTGTATGGTGACCAAGTATCCCATGGTCAAGCATCCAGTTTCCTCTAAGGCCCAGTAGCAGGCCAAGAGCCATTTTTCAAAGGGAGAGTAGTTATCTACAGATGATGGCAGAGCCTTGCTGCAAAATCTTAAAGGCCTGTACTGCAGTTCACCTATAGAGGCCTGCCAGAGACTCCAAACAATATCTCTACCTGCTATTGACACTTCAAGTACCATTGGATCTGCTGGATCATATGGCCCCACTGAGAGAGCAGCCTGCACATCTGCTCAAAACCAGCAGCTTTTGGGCTGGAGATTTAGCTCAGTGGCATAAGCGCCTGCCAGGCAAGTGTAAGGTTATGAGTTCGATCCCTGGTACCAAAAAAAAAAAAAAAAAACACAAACAAACAAACAAACAAAAAACCGTAACAGCTCTCTGAGTCACTTAGTAAATTGGCTGGAGTGAGACACCTAAGTGAGCAATGTGTTCCCTCCAAAATCCAAATGGCCACACTAGGTGTTGTGTCTCTTTTTTGGCTGTGGGGGAAGCCAGATGTAACAACTTTTCTTTTACCTTAGAAGGGATACCTCTACATGCTCCACATCACAGACTCCTAGAAACTTCACTGAGGTAGAAGGACCTTAAATTTTTGTTGGATTTGTTTCTCATTTTCTGGCTCACAAGTGCTGTACTAATAAATCCAGAGTGGTTGCTACCTCCTGCTCACTTGGCCCAGTCAGCATAATATCATCACTGTAGTTGACCAGTGTGATATCCTGTGGGAGAGAAAGATGATCAAGATCCCTATGTATTAAGTTGTGACACAGAGCTGGCAAGTTAATATACCCCTGAGGTAAGGCACTGAAGCTATATTGCCAGCTGAAAGCAAATTGTTTCTGATGGTCCTTTTGGGTAGATATGGAGAAGAATCAATACTTATATACCAAGTACTAGGAGTGGTGTTAATCAACTTAAGCAAGGAAACCACATCTGGTACCCCAGCTGTAACTGGAGTCACCACTTGATTCAGTTTATGGAAGTCTGCTATCATTCTCCAAGATCCATTTGTCTTTTGCATAGGCCAAATGGGAGAATTAAAAGGAGATGTGGTAGGAACCACCACCCCTGCATCCTTTAAGTCCTTGATGGTAGCACACTAATCTCTGGAATCTTTCCAGGAATGATAATTTTAGAGCATCTAAGAGTATTTTTTTTTTTTATTGTGAATTGATCTTTTATAAATGTTTCTGTTACCTATGTTGGTGAAACATGTGGTAATGAAGGTTTTAGCATAAGGAGATTTAACAGTTTTTCATATTCACAATTTAAGGTTGATTGTGTATCTCGTTTTTGTGCCCTAGTTGATGACCAACTGTCTGTCCATATCGATGAAGGTGGATGGGCCTGCCTGGTCTGCAAGGAGAAGCTTCTTGTTTGGAAGATCATGCTGTCCTCTGTCACCAAGGTATGTTCTTCAGGGACCTCAGAAGTGGGGGACCACTTGACCCTGCATCTTCTCCCCTTGAGGGTTGGTGGAAGACAGTAGTGTGAATCTACATAGGCATCGGGAATTTGTGAAAACGTTGAGCACATGTGCACATTTGTGTGTTGGGAGAAGTTTCTCCTATTTTCTTGATTCTTAAAAAGTTCATATCTATAGTTTATTCCCTCTCCAAAGAGCCACTGCAGTCAGGTGAAGTCAATGCAACCTCAGGGTGTTACCATCTTTATAGCAAAGGTAAAGCTCAGCACAGGTTACATGGACTGCATTTCCCCTCAGGCTCCATTCACTTATGCCTCAGCACAATGTTTGTGAGATTTTAGCTTTTTCTGGAAGGTGGTCTTTGGCCTCCCCTTCCTCCCAGCATCCTGCCTTCTTGCTCGTCCCATTCCCTGGGCACGGAGTCCTCACCCTTTGCCCCATGTCACTTGTGAGAGTGGTTCCTGCCAAACTTATTGCTGAAAGTCCAGGGGGATTTAGGAGTATTCATCGTGTTTATACAAGCACAATTAGCTCAAGAATAGAATAGTTTTGTTTTGTTTTGTTTTGTTTTACTTTTAATCAGTACCGGGGACCAAACTCACGACTATCTGCTTGCAAGGCAGGTGCTTATGCCGCTGAGCTAAATCCCCAGCCCCTGGAATAGAATAGTTTTTGAGCAAGATATATGTTATTTACATTTAATAAAATTAGGGACAAATTTTCATGGACTGTAATGCCAGTCAGTCTGCCTAACAAAGCCTTAGATAATGCTGTCCACGTAAGCTGACAGAGCGTACTTATTTCTAGGAAGACAGAACCATTTTTTTTGTACCAGGAGTCCATCTCAGGACCTCATGCTTGCCAGGCAGGTGCTGAGCCATTGAGCTAAATCCCCAGCCCTAGGACCATGTTTTGGTGAATTGAGTAAATGGTTCTTGCTTACAAAACAGGAAAATGATGGCCAATTGCTGGTAGAGTTCTCAGCTGGGAGCTTCTGGTAGTGGGTTATCATTTGTGTCTAGCTTCTTACCCTGAGCAATCTTTTCCCTGTGCAGAGTCTTTGTACCACTCATTGTTCTAGGTCTTTGTTCTCTGGGGACTCAGGGCTCCTGCCCACCTAAACTCTTCACCTCTGCTGGTCTCTGTATTGCTGCTGCCTAAATAGTGCATTTTTGGTTGGAAACAGTAGATAAAGGAGAACTCCCAGGGGACATGCTGATTTAGCAGAGGGATCTTTTGTTATATTTCTTTTCTGTCTCTGTCTCTGTCTCTCTGTCTGTCTGTCTGTCTGTCTCTCTCTCTGTCTCTCTCTCTCTATCTCTATCTCTCTCCCTCCCTTCCTTGGTGCAGGGTCTTGTTGTGCACTTCAGGCTGGCCTTGCATTCACTATGTAGCCCACGCTAGCCTCAAACTCACATTGCTTCTTTCTCCTGCCTCAGCCTCCTGAGTGCTGGGATTGCAGTTATGTACCACCATGCCTGGTTAGCAGAGGGTTTTTATTTTTTTATTTTTCTAATTTTAAGAGTAGGAAAATTTATTGGAGAAGAGGAATAGGGAATAGTAATAGCTCCGAGAGACAGACGGGGTTCAGAATGGGTTGCCCCGCAGAGGAATCTTGATGCTCAATTGAAGTCTTAAGAAGTATTTTCAAGGCAGGTTGGTGCAATTACTGTTAGTCATGCTAATTTTAAATATCAAATCAAAATCAGATGGAGCAAATCTGCAGGAAGGCTAAATACTTTTTGATCTGTAGACTTTTTAGACCTCAAAGAGTATACTAGTTGATATTTAAAGTTTGCATGCTCTTCACGAAAATTCAGTCCTGAAACCATAGTCCCTCAATCCCTGGAAAAATCATGGAAGTTGTTTTCCATGAAACAGCCTAACTCTTCGTTTCCTGATTGTCTCTTAAGATTCTTTGTTTTAAAAGTACTGAAAGCATGATTAGAAAGAGCTGTGAAGAGAATATTTGCAGAATGATAGTTCCAGCAAATGAATCAGAATATAAAATACACAGAAAAAGGAAATAGAAAAGCCAGATACATATTCATATTCAACAGTGTTGGAATCAGTGTGCTTATATCTTCATTACATATGTGATTTTATATATGCACATAATACATGTAGATCACACATAGATGCCTCTTTTTTTTGGTCTTTTTTGAGACGGGGTCTCGTTATGCAGTCCAGGCTGCCCTTGAACTCACTTTGTAGCCCAGGCTGGTCTCGAACTCGCAACGATTCTCCCCCTTCAGCCTCCCGATTGCTGGGATTACAGGCGTGAGCCACCACAACTGGCTCATAGATGCAATTTAATACAGTGGTAACATTTTGCATTGTTATATAAATAAAAATGTATATATACATTTTCCTAACCAAAGCATTCTCAAATTCTTTTTTTTTTTTTTTGGTACTGGGAATTGAACTCATGACCTTGCACTTGCCTGGCAGGCACTTAGGCCTCTGAGCTAAACCCCAGCCCTCAAGTTCTTTATCAACTGTCCTTTTTTACACAAATGTCAGCATGTTAACTTGTCTCTTGCTGTTAATTTCCTCATTTAAGATCACATTTTTATTTTAAAATATAAACATTTAATGATCTAAGAAAATGTATATTTGATGGATGCAAAAGGTTTTTTGTTTGGGTTTGCTCTGCAGCTATCTGTTTGCAAAGAACTTCAGCTACCGCCTAGTGACTTCCACTGGAGTGCTGACCTGGTGGCTGTCTCTTACTCTGCTGCCTCAGGTGAAGCACATTCTGTTCAGGTAGGTGACTTAAAAGCATTTTTTTTTGTCTTTTTTCTTTTTTATCAGTACTGGGGATGGAACTCACGACTGCCTGCTTGCAAGGCAGGTGCTTATGCCACTGAGCTAAATCCCCAGCCCCGGTCATCTATAATTTTTAAAAATTGAATATCCCTCTAAACTTCAAACCTGATACAAAGTTAACTTAAAATGGATCATTGATTAACATAAAATTGTAAAAATTTTTTAGGAGAAAATAAGAGAAAAATTGTTATAATGTGATATTAGAGTTCTTGGAAATCCCCAAATCATAATCCATAAAAGAAAAAAATTGGTAAAATTAATATTAAAGTTAAAATAAGGTCAAAATTTAAAACTTTAAGACCCAAACCAGGCCACACAGCAGGAGGTCATCTGTATTTATAGCTGGCTGCCTATCTCTTATGTTATTCCCTGAACCCCACCTCCTGTCAGATCAGCAGCAGTGTTAGTTTCTTATAGGAGCAAGACCCGTACTGTGACCTGTGGGTTGAGTTTGCATGCTCTTCACGAAAATTCAGTCCTGAAACCATAGTCCCTCAATCCCTGGAAAAATCATGGAAGTTGTTTTCCATGAAACGGATATGTGGTGGCAGAAAGGTTGGAAACCACTATTCTATAGTAAATGACAGCAAAAGCAACAAATTGCTGATGTCTTCATGATCTGAAGAATTTCATGAGACAGTAAACCGAGTTAAGAAAAGCCAATAGCAATGGCTGTATTTTTTATGGTTTCATTGCTTGATGTTCTCAAAGAGGCAGAATGATATTGGTGAAAACAGTGGTTCCCAGTAGGATGGAGGAAGGTATACAACTGCCAAAGGCTGTAATTACTGGAAAGTTTTGGAGATAATGTGATTATATTACCCCATAGATCATGGAACTATACAACAAAGGAAATACTAGCTTCACTATTTAATAATTTAATTAATTTTGGTTTTTTGAGAAGAAGTTTTGCTATGTAGTTCAAGCTGGCCTTAAACTCACTATGTAGTCCAGGCTGACCTTGAACTCGCAGTGATCCTCCTGCATCAGCCTCCTGAGTGCCGGGATTATAGACATGTATTGCCACGTGTGGGCATATTTGATAATTTTGAAAACACAGCTTTAAAGAGTTCTATTTCTGATTTTTTCAGTGTCACAGACTCCCAGGGTCTGGTGTTGGTTGCTGACTGTGCTATGGTTTTGTTTCAAGGCTGTTGCTGTCATGGTTGTCACCAGAGAAGGATCTATCCGCTACTGGCCAAGCCTGGCTGGGGAGGACACCTTCACAGAGACTTTTGTGGACCTGGGAGGTGACAGGATGTGCAGATTCCTAACAGCAGTGCAGGTGTGTGGGGGATATCCTACATGCTTATGGGAAAGCTGTGCCTTGGATTGGCAGTGAGTTTGAATGACCACAAATGGGGGCTTTGAATGGTTGTGCAGACTGGAAGGACTAGCAGGATGCAAGAGAAGGATGCTTAGGCCTGTGGGTTGAATGACTACATCAGTGATGGCGAACCTTTTAGATGGTAGCTATACCAGTTAGGGGTTGCGAAGTTTAATCCCAAACTCACTCACTTACTGCAAAGTACAAGCACTGCTATTAAACCTCAGTGCTCCCCTGCTGGGGTGGTGCTGGGGCAACTTGGTTTGTGTGCTGACAGAAAGGGCTCTGCATGCCCACTGTAGCACACAAGCCAGCAGGTTTGCCACCACTGAACTAGACAAAGAGAGGCCCCTGCGGTAAAGATAGGAAAAGAAGAAGTTAAATTATCATTGTTTGCAGATGACATGATACTCTACATAGAAGACCCCCTAAACTCCATTGAAATACTCTTAGATACAATAAATAAATTCAGTAATGTGGCTGGATACAAAATCAATACTCAGAAATCAATAGCATTCCTATACACGAACAACAAAATTACAGAGAGGGAAATAAGAGAAACTGGACTATTCACATTAGCAAGCAAAAAAATGAAATATTTAGGAATTACTCTTACGAAAGAAGTGAAAGACTTATACAGTGAAAATTATAATACACTGAAAAAGGAAATTGAAGATGATCTCAGAAAATGGAAAGACATCCCTTGCTCATGGATAGGAAGAATAAACATTGTGAAAATGGCCATTCTCCCAAAACTGTTATACAGATTCAATGCAATCCCAATAGCAATACCATCAACATACCTTATAGATCTAGAGAAATCACTCCTAAATTTCATCTGGAACCAGAAGAGACCTAGAATTGCAAAGGCAATTCTAAGCACCAAAGACAAAGCAGGAGGCATCACAATCCCTGACTTGAAGTTATACTACAAAGCAACAGTAGTAAAATCAACATGGTATTGGAATCAAAACAGAGCTGAAGATCAGTGGAATAGATTAGAAGATACAACCACAACTACGAACACACTCAACCACCTTATTTTTGATAAAGGAGCCAAGCAGGTTCACTGGAAGAACGACAGTCTCTTTAATAAATGGTGCTGGAAAAACTGGCTCTCCATTTGCCGAAAACTAAAGCTAGACCCATGTCTATCACCATGTACTAAATTAAAATCTAAATGGGTCAAAGATCTGAATATTAAAACAGAAACACTAAATCTATTGGAAGACAAAATAGGTAGAAACCTTGGAGACATAGGAGTAGGTAAAGAATTCATGAACAGGACTCAAACCGCACGGGAAATACTTCCCAGAATCAATAACTGGGACCACTTCTTATTAAAAAGTCTCTGCATGTCAAAAGAAATCTCCAGCATAGTGAAAAGAAAACCCACAAACTGGGAAAAGATTTTAGTGAACTCTCTCTCAGACAAGGGACTCTTGTCTAAAACATACAAAGAATTAAAGAAACTCAGACCTCCGAAATTCAAAGATCCAATCCAAAAATGGGCATCTGAGATGAATATGCAATTCTCAGATGAAGAAATGCAAATGGCAAATAAATAAATGAAAAAATGCTCATCATCATTGGTCATTAGAGAAATGCAAATTAAAACCACACTGAGATACCATCTCACTCCTGAAAGAATGGCCAGGATCAAGAAAACCGACAACAAATGCTGGAGAGGCTGTGGGGAAAAAGGAACTCTCCTGCACTGCTGGTGGGAGTGTAGACTGGTACAGCCTTTGTGGAGATCTGTCTGGAGATTTCTCAAAAAGTTGGGACTGGAAATCCCATTTATTCCAGCTATTCCACTTCTAGGCATATTCCCAGAAGAACTGAAAGCATCATACCACAGTGATATATGTGCACCTATGTTTATAGCAGCACAATTTGTAATCGCCAGATCTTGGAAACAACCCAAGTGCCCATCAACTGAGGAATGGATAAAAAAGTTGTGGTATTTCTATACAATGGAGTATTATTCAGCTATAAAGAAGGATCACATTGAGATATTTATCAATAAATGGGCACAGCTTGAGACCATACTCATAAGTGAAATAAATCAATCTCGCATGTGTGAATACCGAATAGTTTCCCTAATGTAAGTAATGATTCAAATATATAAAAATATGTGGTAATCATGATTCCCCATTAGGTGGCCTTGAAGCCTTATAAAGTTTTCACTCATTAATTAGAAAGGCTTTATTCTGGGCTTCTTGATATGAAAACATTTGAAGCTAGAGTATATGAAGTTTTACCCAAATATTTCAAGGAAAAAGACACTATGGTAACTACTATTAAGTCAGGTTATAAGGTGGTGAAGTACTAGGTTATTGAAACAGTCATGCTGTGACCTCTATTGTTATATTGTTATGTCCTGTTTTATCTCAATCTCCCCCTTATTGTTTCAAAAAAAAATTATTTAGTCATTTCTTATGTTTGTCTTAATTAAAGAAAAAATTCAAAAAAATTAGGATATATAAATAGTAACTCTTTTCGATTTCCTATTAACTTGTTTTGAAGTCCTGTAGTACTCCCACGATCTTGTTTTGACTGATTAGCCTCTGTTCCATTCTATATGATAGCATCAAGTTTGAAGACATAGACAACTACTTTGAAGACAATAAGATTCACTAAGATACCCATTCTGGTTTGACTATTGTCTTCTTTGGAAGTCCTGTAATGTTTACAATGCCTAAGTTTTATTGGTCTTGTTCTCTACTGTTTTGTCCAACTTTATAATATCTAATAAGATAGACAATTCTTTTTAAGGAAACAAGGGACAACGTTGATAACCATTGTTGATAAACTTGTACTCTGTTCTACACCATGTGCTATGTCTATCCTTGGTATTGACTGACAGCTTTGTTTTGCCATATTTGACTGTATTCTTCCCCCCCCCAAAGAAAGTAATAAGCACTAAGGAGTAATAAAATCCAAGATGTGTAAATTTTGTTGTAAAAAAGAGAGGGAAAAAAAAAAAGAAAAAGAGCTCTAACGGATATAACAGCAAGTGTGTTTGGGGGTGTTAAATAGCTGACTTTATCAATGTTTTTGGAACATTGAACACAGCTGTTTGCAGTCTCCCTGTTTGAATGTCCACCTTGTGTTCTTTGATACTGTGATTTGAGGAACTATTTTCAAGAAAATAGTGTGTAATCTACTAGCAGGTAATTTCTTACTGTTATGGTTTTTTGTTTTGTTTTGTTTTGTTTTGTTTTGTAGTTCTGTATTGCGTGTACCCTTACGCCGCTTTGGTTTGTTTTGTGTTTTTCTCTTTTTCCTCTTAAATAAAAAAAAAAAAATTATAAAAAAAAAAAAAAAAAAAAAAAAAAGAGAGGCCCCTGCATGGGGCTGCAGAATGTCTGGGTAGTAACAAGTGCTGCTCACTTGTTTTAGAAACATTTTATGGGAGTAGCTTGGAAACTTAGACACTGCACAAATGAGCGCTGTGTCTACTGCTCAGGTTTACCAAAAAAATAATATATGATACTTGATTTGTTGAATTTGCAGTATAGTGAACTTCAATTTAAAAATCAGAATTGAAAAAAATTAACTTCTTCAGTTGCACGATTTTTTCTATGTAGAATAATGCTGAGTTAAACAGCTTGTAAATTATTTTATTATTATTCTATTTACTTATTTGGTACTGGGAATTGAACTCATGACCTCATGCTTGCCAGGTAGGTGCTATGCCACTGAGCTGTATCCCTAGCCCTTTATTTATTTATTATTATTATTATTAATATTTTGGTATCAGGAATTGAACTCACAACCTTGCATTTGCCAGGTTTTTTTTTCTTTTTTGAGACGAGTTCTCACTGAGTAGTTCAGGCTGACCTTGAACTATGTAGCCCCGGCTGGCTTCAAACTCATAGTGATCCTCCTACCTCAGCCTCTTAAGTGCTAGGATTATGTGTGTGTGCCACCATGCCTGGTTTATTTTAATAAAATAACATTGTGCCTGTTTTCCCCATTCTTTTAGATTTAAGGTGGAAATGGTTTTTCTCTGTAACAAAGAAAGCATTTCTTGTTTCTTCTCTGCATCTTAGTGTTAGATACTTAATTAATCTCACAATGTTTGTTCACAGGGAGGAAGTTTCATCTTGGCCTCTGTGGGAAGTCAGCTAATTCGGTTGATACCTGAAGGCTCTGGAAAGATTCATCAGCATGTCTTGCCACAGGGGCAAGGGATGCTGTCAGGAATTGGTCGAAGGGTTTCTTCCCTTTTCGGAATTTTGTCTCCTAGTAGTGATCTCATAGTAAGTTTATAAAATACTTGTTTTACAAGCTTATTTCTTAGTGAAATCAGCAAGTTGGTAGTTTCCTATGAAGTTATTATTGCATCCATCTGAATTAAACCCATAATGCAAAATCTAAAATGTGTTTATTAAGAATCTGTTTGGCTTCGTAGACTTGACTTGCCGTGTATCTTCTCTTTTGCCTCCACCTGTCTGTGTGAATGACCCATCTGCACCTGGTGACTGATACTGCTTATGCTTGGCTGAGGGCAGGGAGGATGATGGGGCCTGGTACTTTATGGAGTGTCTGCTCTGCCAAGTGTTCTGGTCTGTTGTCTCTAACCACTGTGGCAGCTGTGAAGCAGACACTTTCTCTGTAGTTTCCCACTGGGGAAGCAGCCTTGCCATGATTGCTAAGTGGAAGAGTGGGATTCATGCTCAGCCTGTCTGCATCTGAAATACAGCTTTTGTCACTGGGGCTGTTTCTTTATTTCAGGCAGCTGTTGTCACCTGCTTCTTCAGTTTTCTTAAAACCTAAAATTTAACATGTCTAAAAACAAATGTATCATAGTCCTATTTCTCTCCTATGGTCTAACTTTGTAAAGATTTTTTTGCTTCTGATCTCTTTCTGTCATTGCTTTCTTTAGTGACCCAGGTATAGGCCCTCACACTCCTTATGTATTCTTCTCTCACCATCAGCTTGCAGGTGTTCTCTGGGACAGAAGAAGGTCGAGCTTCTACAGCCTGACGAACTCAAATGTCAATAGATGGGAACTGGATGATTCCTCAGAAAAGCTAACATACAGTTGGGACTTAAACAGAGTTCTGAAGGAAAATATCACCGATGCCATTTGGGTGAGGACCAGTAACATTCATTTCTGATTCATGCTCTTGGTTGTACAGTGCTTGTTCCTTGTTTATTTCATTGTATGTAAGTGGATAAACCTAGTGCATAGCCATCAAAGAGCAGAAGTAGGATGCTCAGTCCCACCTCTAGTGAAACTCACTGATTTGCTTGCTTAACAGTTTTCTGTCATGTATACTTTCCTCCACCAGATATGCTGGAGCCACTGTAAGTACAGCACTTCTTCAAGTGCTGGGCATACAAAGGTGGGGAGAAAGATTTCTTATGCTCGGGAGCTCACATTTTTGTATTTCCATTTAGGGATCTGAAAGTAACTATGAAGTTATTAAAGAAGGGGTCAACATTCAGTATTTGGACTTGAAGCAAAACTGGTAAGCAATTAATTTGTCCTAAAGAGGTGAGGTTAGATACCAATTTAGAAAATAAGTTGGTATCTATGGTAAAATGGTGAACAATCTTACTGGCTGCTTGTCTAGTGCCGGTCTTTTCATATTGTTAAGCCAATGGCCTGGCTCTTCTTTATCTAGCCATGCTAATTCACTTGGCAAATAGAGGCAACTCTCAGCCTAGACTGGTGTGTTCTTTTCTTATTCCTGTTTTGGATTAAAAAGTTGTGGTATTTTTATACAATGGAGTACTACTCAGCTATAAAGAATGATCACATTGAGCTATTTATAAATAAGTGGGCGCAGCTTGAGACCATACTCATAAGCGAAATAAATCAAACTCACATGTATAAATCCGAATAGTTTCCCTAGTGTAAGAAATGATAAGAATACATAAAAGTATGTGGTAAACATGATTCCCCATTATATTGCTTTGAAGCCTTATAATGTTTTCATTAATTAGAATGGTTCTATTCTGGGTTGTTTGGTTTTATTGTCTGTGATGGTATGGATAGTTTTTTTGAAGAAAACAAGACAATATAATAACTAGTGCTGATATAATATCATCTTATTTTGAAGTTCCATGAAGTTTTTGTTCTTCTGATTCCATCGGTTTATCAAGTTGTATCTTACTGGATTTTATTATATGTGACAGTATAAACAAAATTTTTTAAGGACAAGGAAATAATATAGAAACGATTGTTTGTTTTCTGTTAGTTGGTTCTAAATACCCTGTAATACTTTCATTCTCTTGAATGGTTTTACGCTGTCATGTTGTGTTCGATGCTATAATATATAAAGTTATACTCAAATATTTCAAGGAAAGAGATACTATGGTAGCTACTGTTATGTCGGGTTATCTTGTGGTGAAACTTTATGTTGCTTAAATTGTTCTGTTCTGACCTGTGTTATTATGTTGTTATGTCCTTTTTTATCTTAATCTGCTTCTTTCTTTTATTTTTTTAATAAAAAAAAATTGTAAAAAAAAATTTATATTCCTGTTTGAGCTCCAGCCAAGCAGCTCTTCTTCACATTGTCTTCAGGCAGCATTGAGACCCTGTCCTCCAGCCCCGTGGGTGCCTGAGCTCAGGTCTGTCTCCTTCCCATGGAGACAGCAGGCACTCATCTCAGCTGCCCTTTCTGTTGCTAACCAAGCTTTAGAAAGCCTTTGTGGCTAAGCTGAGCAGAGGAATAGTGGGTGAGTTTTATCTTTGCAGTACAAGTTAGAACTAATGTTCATTCTTAGAGTGAGTTTCCTTTTAGAAACAATGCCACAAGTGATGTTAGGTTAGTTTGATAAAGTTGATCATCCTGATAAAGGTCACATGAAATTAAAAAACTACTTATAACCTGGCTACCATGCGGATGCTCATAATGAGTACAGTGTGATGAGTAGCTCCCACTTTTGCTTTTGCTTTGCTTTTACCGGGACAAGTGTTGTGTGCCGTTGGGTTAGGGGGTCATCATCCTGCTTGTGGTTCTCCTGGGCTGTTGGGCTTGTTAGTATGCGCCTTCCTACAGACTGAAAACAAAAGTTACTGAAGAAGTAAAATCATAGTTTCATTTACTTCTGCAGGCATTTTGATTAGATGCAACTTGCCTGATTTCATTTATGTTTATCAGACTTGGAAACAAGACTGCTGCTCAGATGTGGACCACTGTGGGCCTTCTTTTTCAGATTTGGAGGCAGATTAAGGATGGGCAGTAGGCACTCAGGAATGCTGTCCTGGGTCTCCTCTTTCCAGTGTCGCCTGTGACAGGAGGCAGCAGTTGGTTATGCTACAGAGAGTGTGATGCAGGCATTCCAAAGAATGCGTCTGTGCTCTGAAAATGAAAAGGCTTAGACTTTTCTTTTTTCTTGACTAGTGATGGGCTCCTGATTTTGGCAGCAGCATGGCATCCAGCAGATAGTCCTTGCCTCGTCTATTACTCTCTGATAACAGTAGAAGATAATGGTTGCCAGATGTCAGATGCAGTTACTGTGGAAGTCACGCAGTATAACCCACCTTTTCAGGTAAGTTAGATTGCAAAGTGCAAATAACACAGACTTTTTTTCTGGCTGTTGCACATTCCTTGAGCTTCATGGCCAAATACTTTTTTTAAAAAAAAAATTAATTATTTATTTTAAAGAGAATGAAATAATAGAAGCAAACAAATCAAGAAGCAAACAAAAACAACAAAAGCAAAATGACAACAACAAAGAACAACAATAGCTGTATAGGCTTTCAAAATAAGATGATAGGAATCCAATAGTGGTTGTTATATTGTATATTGATAGCTTCACAATAGTTGCTCAGGTTACCAAATACAGGAATAAAGCAAGACAGTTGAATGAAACAAAACATTGGATTTGAAAAACAAGACAGAAGGAAATCCTCCACAGTTGCTATAATACATATTATTATCTTCTAAATAGATACTTAGACTATCAGTTTTGGGTCTGCAAAATCAATCAAACAGTAGAAGCATTAAGTGATTTTGTTTTGTTTTGTTTCGGTTGCTATGGTCTCAGTCTGACTTCCTCCAAATCAGCCCATAGCTTACTGGGGGTGGAGGTGTTGAAGGGTGTTGCTTTTCTTGTCTCCCAGCCTGCGTATGAGGTTGGTTCACTGGAAGGCATGGTTTGGCTTCCTGATTCTCTTTCCGTTCTCTGTGGCAGCTGCCCCAGCTCATGGGAAAGTATGGTTTGGCTTCTTGATTCTCTTGCTGGTTTGCATGGCAGCTACTCCTCCATGGGCAAATATTTATAGCTGGCATTCTTTGCTTTTACTTTTTTGCTGTTTAATTCCAGCGTTACATCTTTGGGTTTTTTGTTTGTTTGTTTTGATTTTTTTGGTTCTGTGTATTGAACTCATGACCTTACACTTGCCACGCAGGTGCTATGCCACTGAGTTATATCCCCAGACCACAGCGTTATGGGTATGATCGCTAGTTGCATGTATTTACCTATAAAAGCCTCGAGTTTATCCTTCTTTATGGCTGAGGAGCCAGCCTCTTTCATATGGGGACTAATCCTATGCATGAGAGCAGAGCCCTGATGACCTGATTACATACTCTTGCATCCACAATATCATAACCATGAGGTGGGTTTCAACATGAGAATCTTGGGGAAACACAAATTTTCAAACCATAGCAGTTTCTATAAACTGATTATATCATGCTTTATAGTCATGTCATAGGTAATGTTTAGATTTTCATGAGGAGAACCAGTGAATTAACATTTTATCATTTTTTATGGGACAGTGTTGTATAAAACTACTGTGAAATCATATGAGCAGCTTTGTTTCAATTCTCACTAAATATAATTTTAATTTTAACTTTCAGTCTGAAGACCTAATTATGTGTCGGTTGATGGTCCCTGACTTCTCAAACCAGGCTGCCTATCTGTACACCGAAAGTGCTGTCTATGTATGCTCCACAGGAACTGGGAAATTTTCTCTTCCTCAGGAGAAAATTGTCTTTAGTGCACAAGGTACAGTAGCAGGTTGTTATTGTTGTTGTTGTTGTTGTTGTTTGAAACAAGGTCTTGCTAGCGTTGAACAGGCTAGCATTGAACTCACTATGTAACCAAGACTGACCTCTCACAGGGATCCTCATGCCTCAGCCTTCCAAGTACTGGGATTACAGGTGTGTGCTACTGTGCCTGGCCTGTTAGCAGTTTCAGAAGGCATGCTCAGGGAGCTCACTGGTCATGCTTGATAGTTCTTTTTCCATACCTGTAGCTTTACACCTAACATCTTCAGATATACTGAAGCATTTAATACCACATAGGCAGAGTTGATATCACAACTCTATTGAGAAAATCAAAATGGTAGTAAAATTCCCCAGCATTTATATTTATGGGCAAAAATAATAACATTTGCCCTGGGGAGAAGACCAAAAACAAATGATACTAAAAGAAGTAGTTGCGGGCTAGGGATTTAGCTCAGTGGCAAGCAGGCAGTCATGAGTTCGATCCCCAGTACCGGTAAAAAGAAAAACAAAAAAAAGAAGTAGTTGCTTATCCTGATTAGTTTCTGAGTTGATATACTATAAACTAGTTTGTCCAGACCTTGCAAGAAGAGTCCAGGTGCTGGACTCAGGCATGGAGCTGAAGGTGGGGAGGACTAGCCAGGAAAGCAGATAAGCCAGGTGACTGTTCTAATCGGGGCACTTACCTAGTGGATCGCACAGAGGACAGCTGGGGAAGGCCACAGCTTGGATCTGGGTGTTTCTTGTCCCACACCAAAGCCTACGACAGACATTAGTGCGGTGTTCAGTGGGCGTGGACCTCTCACTCCCTGGCTGATCCAGGAGACAGTCAGTTAAGCAAGGGGGCGCTGCAGGATTGAAGGAACTGCTATCTTGAGCTATGCAGGATGAATATTTTCTCTGGGGCTTTAGTCTACTCCCTGCTGTCTTACAAGGACAGCTTTTCTTGTCCTTAAAAAGTAGGACACAGAGTGTGCATCTTATATAGCAGTAGGTACTTGATTTGATTCTGCATTTAAATGCTGAGTTCCAGGTAGGAGTAATATTGTAGAGTGCCGTGAACATGACTGTTTTCTTCAGGATGGTGGGTTTCAGAAACATATGTTGTTTTCTTTTTAGGAGATGGCATTTTGGGTGCTGGCTCCTGTGGCAGTGTTCCCATCCTCTTCTCCAGAAACAGTGGCCTGGTATCCATCACGTCAAGAGAAAGTGTGTCCCTCTTAGCAGAAGACATGGAAGAATCCTTGGCTTCTTCAATCACTGGACCAGGCAATGAGGTTGGGTGGTTTCTTAAGATGTTTTAACTTTTTTTTTTTTTTTTTTTGTCTTTTTGAAACACAGTCTCGCAATGTAGTTCAGGCTGGTTTTGAGCTCACTTTGTAGTCCAGGCTGGTCTCAAACTTGGAATAATCCACATGCCTCAGCCTCCCAAATGCTGGAATTGCAGGCGTGTGCTACCATGCCTGGCTTGACTTTTGTTTTTATAAGAATACTTCACACAAATGTTTCACAGAAGCCAGTTTTAAAGATTTAAGATGAAAATATTTATGTATATATGTATGTTGGTAATGCTGGGGATTGAAATCCAGAATCTTTGGACTGAACTATATTCTAAACTTTTTTTTTTTTGGCAACTGGACCCATAAGAAAGCATTCGTCTTTTTGAAAATCACCTTCACTCCTTTGGTCTTCTTTCCCAGAGCAGCTACTTTTAAATCTCTTAGTTCCATTATTTTGCTCTGCATTTCTAAATACTATTTGTATGTTGCTGTCTTCTGAGTTACCAGTCTTAGAAGATGAAGGCTTGGGGTAATTTATACTCCTTTCTGTCTTTGCCATACCAATGTAAATGTTTTCCATTATAACAATAATGTTTGTTTTGTTGAGCCTAGTAATATACTGATTGCATTTCCCACATCACAGTCAAATGGCATTGTTTTATACTTGGATCATTCATCTTAAATGTCTGAGTTTATCATCTTATATCCCTTAGCAGCTCTGTAAGACACTTCCAAGTATGGTTCTTCCTGTGATTGGATCTCAGGAAACTGTTTGCACAGCTGTGCCCCTGAAGCCTTCCATCTGCACTGTCTCAACCCCCTAGGGCCTACCCATCTGCCTTTCCTTTTCCTTCTCCTCCTCTTCCCTCTCCTCCTTTTCTTGTCTCCATCCCCTCTCCTCTCTTTTTCTGTTATTGGAGAATGAACCCAGAGCCTTTGCATTAAGCTGTACCCCCAGCGTTTTTATTTTATGAGTCAGAGTCTTACTAAATTGCTAAGTCTATATTCTTGTTTCTCTTCAGATTGTATAATTCTTTTGCCTTTTAAATTGCTAGGGCTTGGCTCAAACTTGTGATCCTCTTGCCTTAGCCACCCACAGTGCTGAGATTATAGCTATGTACCTCCATGCCTGACTTTTTGTCTTTTTAAAATCTTTTCCTGAAGTCTGAAAATAATATAAAATAATATACCCAATATTCCTTTTTTTTTTTTTTTGACATTGAAAAGGAACTGTAATCAAGTTTACAGACATAAATATCTTCAAATTTACACAGGTGCTCTAAAATTGAAAAGCAACATATTCTGTTAAAACTTAACATTTTGAAATCTTAAAATGTTTTTGGTATAGACAATAATATTTTTAAAGAAGTTAATGAAAATGAAAGAGAAAGAAGGAAGAAAGGAATGAAAGAAGAAACTTCTTAAGTCTTGATAATAGGTAGTTCCATTTTGAATAGTATGTAGTATAACCTATTTTTGTAATTGAAAATAAAGTGACTTGGTACAGTTTCTACAGAAAGTAAAATTTTTAAACTTTGTTCTGTAATCATGGTTATGTTATAATGCTGCTGTATGCTCTGAAGCTGTCTTATGGTATTTCGCTTCTTATAAGTTTTTCTGAATCCTTGTTTAATCTTGTAATCACCCATATGCTTAATATTACACGTTGGGTTTTGTTTTGTGTCTTTTTGAGACAGGTCTCTCTATACTGTTCAGGCAGGCCTTGAGCTCACTTTGTAGCTCAGGCTGGTCTTGAACTCACAGTAATCCTGCCTCATCCTCCCGAGTGAAATTACAGGCATGTGCTCCACACGCAGCAGTAGTATACATTGTGATGAGCTGTATAAATGCAAACCTATGAAAGATTGTGTTGGTCATGATGAAATCTCCTTTTTTATTTATTTTTTATTTTTTTGGCAGAAGTGGGGATTAAACCCTGAACCTCTAGCTCTTTTTAGTTTTTATTTTGAAACAAGAGTCTCACTAAATTGCCAAAGGTGGTCTTGTCTGGTCTCGTGAGTAGCAGGAATTACCAGCATACCTGGCTTTACTCAGGATAGAACCTTTTGAGGTTATGGTTAATTGTTGAGTTCTGTTTGTCCAGTTCAATAAATGCCTCAGTGTATGAACAAGTTTTTTAGATTATTTATTTATTTATTATATATTGCCAGGCAGATAGATACTTGTTAGATGATTTAATAACTAGCTTGTGTGTTATTACCCTGTTGTAGGATGGTTCCAGTGTATTCTTGAGTAATTAGAAATGTTCTCATTTCTTCACCTATAAACTGTAGCTTATTTCTTTGCAGAGTATGGTGTTTGAGACTACAAAGAATGAAACCATAGCACAAGAAGATAAAACAAAGCTGCTAAAAGCTGCCTTTCTGCAGTACTGTAGGTATGGCCCATCTTTAAGATCCAGGTTTGCAGGATGCCTGGATACATTCTGCTGACACGTGCAGCGGATTGAATGATGGCGAGAGCAAGTTGGAGGAGTGATTCTACCGAGAAGAGCGAGCTTTTCCGGTTTTTTTGTTTGTTTGTTTTACCTTATTTTGTTTTTTCTTGGTACCAGGGGTCGAACTCACTATCTCACACTTGCCAGGCAGGTACTTATGCTGCTGAGCTAAATCCCCAGGTCTCCAGCTTTATCCCGGCTATTCATTCTCTCAGGAAGTTTTTCTGTACTTCTCTTGTGAGCTCTGACCTATTCTACCAAGAGCTTTCTTGGTCATTTCAAGCCTCTTCTTCCAAACTTGCTGCCCACAGACTTTTTCACCCCGCTGTCTGAGATGCTCCCTGGGCTTGTCCACAGAAGAGAGGGTGTAGAGCGCCTGGGTGTTGTTGCAGCTCCAGTCTGCCCTGTGAGGTTTGCTGATACCCTTTTAGTCAGAGCCAGGCTCAGAGTAGTTCCACAGTGGGAGGGCCCTTGTGGGCGAACTCAGATTTTAGTTTACTGCTGCACATCACCTTCTTTAAAAGTGTAGTCAAATCACGGTTGAATACCTGGGAAACTTGTGGTCCAGCCCCTGCACCCCACCCCACAGTGATCTGTGTGAGATGGTGGACAGATTGCATAACATTCCTGTTTTGCCTTTACACTGGGTTAGCTGGAGTAGGTTAGCATGTTTTTATTTTTAAGAAACATTCAGAATTACTTCCTCCATTTCCCCTAGTCCCCCAATCATGACTCTGTAACCTCATTTGTGGGACATCTGATGCACTGCACTGTCACTGAAGGAATAACAGACTCAAAAGTGCTTTCCCAGGTCTAAAATTATCTGCCTCTTAATGATTTGCTGAGCTTAGTTCTTGTCCAGAAGAGGGCACCATTAGACAAGATCTTATTTCTATTTACTAAACAGTATTGTAATTTTATTGCATGGTTTAGTCTTATCAAAAAGGTTCTGATTATTTTTCTTGGATATATTTATCACTTATTTATTTATTTTTGGTACCATGGATTGAACTCATGATGTGGCGCCTGCCGGGCAGGTGCTTATGCTGCTGAGCTAAATCCCCAGCCCCCTCATTTATTTTATTTTTGAGACAGGATCTCACTGTGTAGTTTAGGCTGACCTTGAAATCATAGGTATCCTGTTGCCACAGCCTCCTGAGAGCTGGGATCACAAGTACAAGTTATCATGCCTGACAGATTTTTCCTTCTATTACAGTTCTATCAGATGTAACTTATATAAAACTAGTTGCCATAGTCATTATATCAATTTTTTGTGAATGTCACACAGAGTACCCTAAACTTGGTGACATAGAACAACAGAAGAGTATGGTATTGTCTCAGCTGTGGAGACCAGGAGTCCAAAATCAAGGGGAAGGCAAGCTCTAGGGCAAGATATTCCAGTGTATCTCTTGGTTTCTGGTAGTTGTTTGGCTAAAGAGTTCATTGTTCTATTTCTGCCACCATTGTCAAATGGCTTCTTCTCAGTGTAGCTGTCTGTACACAACCTTCTTAAAGGGCACCATTTGATTTAGGTCCTACCCTATCCCAATCTTTTTTTTTTTTTTTACCCTATCCCAATCTTAAATAATTGTATCTACTGAAATTTCGTTTCCAAGTAAAGTCACATTCTGTGACTGTTGGTGTACATGCATGGGGTGGTGAGTGTGAGGCATTCTGTAGGAACAGTATGAGACGTGGAAAGGGGTCTCTTCTCATCCCTGTGAAGAGGGGATACCCTTCACCCAGTGTGTTCAGTATGAGGTGTCCTGGAGGGGTACTAGGCATGGAAAGGGATCCCTGAGCTTAGCCTGAGTGTTACCTGGTCCTCTAGCAGGATTGCTGCTTAGACCCTGTTTGTAAACTTCACATATAATCATTCTTTGGGACTCAGCCAGGAATCTTAAAACAGTTGATTCTTCACAATAGAATAGCAGAACTGTTAAATCAGAATTTTTCAACCCAGTTTCTGCAGTTCTTTGCTAATTAGGTTACCTCCTCCTGTTTTATTTGCCATCTCACTCCCTTGGTACTTAATAGAGTTAGGATGATTTTTGGAAAACTAGAAGAGATAGAGATTATGATTCCTTCCCACTGCCTCCCCATGGTTCCTGGGACCAAGTGTAAATTTTTTTGTCTTTTTCCTTTTTATCGGTATCAGGGATCGAACTCACGACTGCCTGCTTGTAAGGCAGGTGCTTAAGCCGCTGAGCTAAATCCCCAGCCCCCCAAGTGTAAATTTTTTAATGTGGTTTACAGTACTCTGCGTTCTCTGATGTTTTTATTTCTCACTTCTAAATGTGAGCCCTGCCTGACTCCTTTGGACTCACTGGTTCCTCTAATGTCCCTGCCCAGCTTAGAAGAGTTTGCTTTTTAGGGATTTGCCTGTCCTTCAAATGGTTGCTATGGAAGCTTTTATCCAACCTCTTCGCTCGCTGGGCAGTCGCTACCTTCCCATGGCTGTAGGTCCCTCACAGATGGCTCACTCGCTGACTGGCAGGCACATACGTTCCTGCCACTTCCTCCTGTCTGCTCTAAGATAGCTCCTCTGTGGCTCACTTGTCCTGTCCTGATACGTCTCACATGTATGTGTCACAGTTGGTGTAGCTGTCTGTTCAACAGTCCTGACACTCTACTTTCTAAAGCCCAATATTGATTTCAATGTGTTGTTTTTGATTCTGTGTCTAGGACCTTGCACATTCTAAGTATTCAGTGTATTATTAATGACTGCATGATAGTTTCTCCCTTTTAATTGTTGTTAGCAATATTTTGGGCTAAAACCTCCACATGGGACTTTATTTTTGTTTATTTTCACGTGGGACTTTAATTTTACAGTTTTCTGGGGGAAATGTTTCACCTCCTTTTGTGTTTTTGTTTTCTCTCTCTCTTTCTCTTTAAAGACAGTGTCTCGCTTTGTAGTGCAAGCTGGTCTTGAACTCTCTAAGTAGCCTGTTGCTCTCAGTTGCAGTGATCTTCTTGCCTTAGCTTCTTGAGTATTGGGATCATTGGTGTGTGTGCTACCACACTAAGCTTGTTTTCCACTTTTATTTCAGGAAAGATTTGGGTCATGCTCAAATGATGGTGGATGAGCTATTTTCTCACTCCGATTTAGATTCTGATGCTGAATTAGACAGGGCTGTCACCCAGATCAGTGTCGACTTGATAGACGACTATCCGGCTTCTGATCCACGGTGGGCTGAATCTGTCCCTGAAGGTAAGAAGACTTCAGTTTTATTGAATGGTGGAGCAGTCTATTTGATAAGGATTTTTTTGTTTTTCATTCAACATGTTGCTCAAAGCACATTCATTAAAGGGCTGTAAGTATGTTATAGTAGATTTTGAAAAGCACCCAGGAGAGATCTAGATAATAAAGAGACTGATGAAATACTGGGACAAATCCCAATATTTCCTTTTTAGTTAGATTACTTCGGGTTCTTAGCATTTTACTTCTGAAAGGAACTTGATGTTGTAGGTAGGCACTTGATACTTACTTGCCCCAGATTAAGTAATTTGGTCATAATCATTATATTTGGCTAATAGAATTTACACATTCTCCTAAAAGGAGCAGGGATATAGAAGTATCAGTATATAGAAGTGGCCACATCATGTCCTTCTGCCTGTCCCAGACAACTAGCCCTTACCTCTTGGCAACATTGAGACAACACTGCAGTTTCTGAGCTCCAGCAAACTGACTCAAATGAACATTTCTTTCCTTCATGATCCTGCTTCAAGCAAATCTGCTCAGTATAAATAGGAGTGAAGAAAGACAGTATCAGTCCTTCTTAGAATGATACAGTGATTAAACTAACCTTAGTACACTCTTTGATTTGAATAAATACACTGTTAATTATATGAACACCCCCTCCCAAGTTTCCTATAAATTTATAAAACTCTTGAGTAACGGATACAGTTTTACTGATGAGCCAAGCAAGCACAGTAGTACCTGCCTGTAATCCCAGCACTTGGGAGGCTGAGACTTTGAGTTCACAGCTAGCCTGGGCTACATAGTAAGTTCAGGAACAGCCTATACTATACAGGACACCCTGTCTCAAAAGAAAAAAAATTTTACTGATAAGTTGTTACTTTCCTCTTTTTAAATTTTCTTTTTTAAAAAGCTTGATGTTTGGGGTTTCATCTCTAACAGAGGCCCCTGGGCTCAGCAACACCTCACTGATCATTCTTCACCAGCTGGAAGACAAGATGAAAGCCCACTGTCTCCTCATGGACTTCCTTCACCAAGTAAGAGTGTGTTCTAGGCTCCCTCAGTTTCGACCAGGTCTATTGCTGCCTTTTAGTTTCTACCAGTAGGGTGTCCCTGCTCTCTATCTAAGTAAGGTGTTACCTTGGGTGGGACTTGATTTGTGGTTTCCATATTCTGTGACCAGGAAGAAAAGCTGCATTGAAAATATAGTTGAAAGAGGAAAAGTACTGTGTTTTAGCTTTTTTTGTTTTTTGTTTTTTGGTTTTTTTTTTTGGTCATTTCAGCTTTGACACTGTTATATCCCTGCAACCTTCTCTTTTTAAAAACCAAGGTTTCATTCAGATTTTCCTGTGTGTGATTATGTAAAAACTTAAGAGTTTTATATTGTTAGGAAGAGAAGGACATTAGTCAAAGTAAAATTTGGCCAGTCCAGATGGAAGGGATGGAGAAGCTGGATCTTTCTCCTGATGGGGTAAAGGGTAAAGTCACATTGTAAGAGAGTATGCATGCTGGGTGTGGGTGGCTACCATACCTGGGACACACCCACTGATCAGAGGCCACAGCCATCAAGGGCTTGGACTTTGTGTCGTCTCTTGGCCCAGCTTTGTCAGCCAGAGTTCCTGTCAGAGTCTGGCAGTGTCTACCAAAGTCTGAAAACACCATTCTAGCTCTGCCCTGTATGTTCATATTTACAGCTTACTTCATGATTAGGAAGCATTTGCATTAGTGGTCACTGAAATGCCTGTCACTGAGTCATCTGTCTAAGGAGATACTTCTCAGTGGAGGACATTTATGTCTTGAAGGCAGTTTGTTGTCAGCCAGGTGCATTCTCACTCTGAAGGGGTAGGGGAGTGATGGCAGCGCCTCAGAACTCTTGGCTGCTCATTCCTGGTGTGGAGGAGGCTGTGTGCTCTGCGGTGGGGCGGGGGGCAGCCCTGTCTTCCTCCCTGTGTGTCTGTGTATCTCAGTGCGCAGCTGCACTTCAGAGCAGTGTGTATGCAGGTGTTGGGGACCCTTGTAGAAGAACAGTGCCTAAGAGGTTTTTAAAGGAACCAGGAAGTAAATTCAAGTCATAAAAACTGAAATGCTTTGGCTTTTTTTTCAATTTTTATTTTTTATTAGTATATGTTTGCAGTACATAATGATGACATTTCTCATGGAAGGATGTACATGTGCATAACACATCTTAAACTACCACCCCACCCGCACCCCATCTCTTGATCACCTTACCCTTTGCGAAAAATAATCAGGTGAATAGGTTGAATGAACTAAAACAGATTGATTCAGGGAAGTACTTCACAGTCATTAAAAACAATACCTAAATGTTGTGAAAAAATAAGATACTCTCAGGAATTTAGCTCTGTGGTACAAGTGCCTGCCTGGTAAGTGCAGGATTATGAGTTCGATCCCTGGTACCAAAAAAGAAAAAGAAAAAGATACTCTCACATTTAACAAGGTTCAAAAGGGTACCCACTAACATATAAATACCACAGAAGCAGCGAGAGAAGTGAGTTAGAAAATGGATCACTTGTTAATGAAAAGAATTATATTTTAATGTAGAAAAGTATTATTTATGTTGTATCTTAGTTGCTTCCCAGTTCCTGATACTATAGTGTTTGATCAAGTTAGGACATTCAGGAAAACTCCTAGATGGTAGTGACCCAACAGAAATGGGTGTCATTAAATCAGAAGGAGGAGAAAGGCCTGAAAACTCTCTCTCCTTAAGACTTTTGATTGTAAAGTCAGCCTTTGGAGATGGAAACTGTTGAGTTTCTAGTACCTAAACGTCTGGAATTCAGGCAAATTCGTTGGTGTAGATGGAAAAGAACAGTTTAGGCACTTTTATAACCATGAGCAGCAATTCAAGAAATTCGGTTTGGTAGAGACAGCAGTCATGGATAGAAACTGGGAGAACCCTGGCAGGAACAGCCGCACCTCCTTAGGGGTGTTACTGTGCGCCGGGAATAGCTGGGAAGAGCAGCTGGAGGTCCGGTGGGAGAGCCCAGGGCTAGAGGAAGGGAAGGCTGTGAACGCTTACCAAGACATGTGCCTGTCTTCTGTGAGGTCGGCTTGTTTGCGCGCCTGGACACTTCTCCAGTTCGAGGAACACTGATGGCAACTCGGCTGCTGCTGTGTGAGCATGCAGAAAAGCTGTCGGCCACCATCGCTCTCAAGAACCACCACTCACGACTGCCAGATCTCGTGAATGCGGCCATTCTGATTGCTCTGAACAAGAGGGAGTGTGACATCCCAGGCAGCCTGACTCCCGCAGACGTCTTCTTTCGTGAGGTCAGACTTATAATCATTTGTGCCTTCCCAAGGCTTTTCGGAGCTGTGCTGTGTGCTTGTCATCACCAGGCAGACCAGAGAGAGGACAAACTAAATCTTGAAATTTTAAGTCGTATTGTCTATTTTCTGGATACTATCCCTGAGAAGTGTCCCTCACTTCTGTCAGCAGAGCCTGTGCAACTGACTGAGAAGACTCCCTAGTTCCTTTGTGTGTTTGAGGTTTCCTTTGTCTCTCCACATCCTCTATGGGCTCTTCCACAGGAAGCTGGCCTCCTTGTGGGCTCTCTTACCTCTGGCCTCCCTCAGGATGTGAGGAGTATGGGGCACTGCAGAAAGCAGAGGATAGAGTAGCCATTCTCCTGGCTTTTTTGCTCACCTGCATCCATAGCACATTGGCTGTGCCTATTGTCAGGGACGCTGCTTCTGTCTAGCCTCCTGCCTCTGCAGTCTGGTACCTATTCCCTCTCCACATTCCTCCTAGCTGGGAGTTCTCCCAGGAGTACTCCTTCCTTCTGGGGCCTTAGTCTTGCCCCCAGCTCAGTGAGCAGTTCTTCCCCAAAGCTCTCCTTTGCACCCTACTAAGGTCCTGCTTATAACTTCTGTTTCCAAGCTAGGCTTATTTTCAGATGAGAAGAAAACTCAGCTGTAAACCTTGGAGGGAGAAAAGATTAAGGTATCAGCCAGCAAGTGACAGCTGGACAGTTAGTAACATAGTTCCTGCTTTTGTGTGATGCCCCACAGCCTGATGGGATGGTGAGGCAGACTGTGCCCCCTTCCTTAAAGAAATGTGTTTAAGCTTATTGCCACTTGTCTGGACTACGACTGTAGAGCAAGTTCTGAGCCCAGTCCTCAACTCTGCTCTTGCATGTGCAAAGCTCACTTCTGGAGCTTGTTGTCCTTTAACATGGCTTGTCTTGTTTCCCTTTGTAGGGGTGTCTGATTTAGACACAGAGCTAGCTCTGCCCTCAGTTTTGAAATTTGGAATTTTCCTGTACAATTGAGGAACTTCTGGGTGACTCAAAAATCTAGCTCCTCTAGTCTGGCTGGGTCACATTTACCAGGCCTCCTTTCTTCAGTGTTTGAGGAACCATAACCTAGGTTTAGGTTTTTGTTTCTCCTGTCACTATTTTAGATGTGACAGTATTGTCACACAGAACTGCTTGGTGTTGGCCTGCCCGTTTTGCCTGTCTCCAGTTTGGGAAGTTCCTGGTACCACTTGGAGTTCAGTGCCTGAGCTACAGGCTTTGTTGGGATGGCCTGTGAGCAGTGTTTTAAACCTGAGCGCACACATGGTAGACCAAAGATGTTTCAAGAGTTCCTTTCTATTACTTCTTTTATATTAGATAGGCATTCCTTGGTATCCACAAGTTCTTTATTATAAGACCAGCACACTCTCCCCCCAGATACCAAATCAAAAAGTTATATATATAAAATGGCATAGAATTGGCATATAACTTCCACTTCTCCTCTTGTATACTTTAAATTATCTCTTGATTACTTATAATATCTAATACAATGTAAATGCTGTGTAAACAGTTGTTATATCATGTTGTTTAGTGAATAATTTTAAAAAAGGCCTGTGAATGTTCAGTTCAGACACAACCATTATAGGCCTACCCACATATAATACACTTCACCAATGTAACTTTTCTTCTAGTGTTTTTAATCTGAGGTTGGTTGAATCTATAACACATAACCTATGGGTAGGAGAGCCAAATGATTGTGATTTTATTGTACTTTTCATGTTAACAGTATAAAAAATTCTTACACCTAATTTCACAAATTAAATGTGTTGATGGTTTCTGATTTGGGCTTTTAGGATGCTCTGGTAACATCAGAAGTACACAAGGGAGAACAAGGCTTGCCAGGCAGAATGGTATTATGCAGGCAAAGTTTCACATGTGTTTATGTTTTGTTCTGTGTACAAGTTTGTGTGCTCGTGAAGGACAGTAAGTCTGATTTCTTTATTGTGAGTGTTCGGTCCTGTAATATATGCTTTTCATTTAAAAGGGGAAGCCTAACTGAGTCTGGACACTGGAAATGAGTTTCAATGCCTAAAGCTTTTTTGCAGTTATCTCCATGTATTAATGACCAAAAAATATTTAGAAGAGTTAAAGTTAAGTATTTAGTTGATCATATTGTTACTGCTGTTCTATGAACATTTCTGCTGTAGTTGAAAGGGAAGAATTCCTCAGAGAAAAACTAGGAAATCTATTATTTACATCAGTATATTATTCAGTTAGTTTGTGGTCTTACATCTTAAAGTAGTATTGTTTGTAGCAGTGCTATTTAAAGGTTGCATTGAGCGCTTACAAATAACAGTAAGTATTTGTTTCTAAGAGTATAGATTTATTTATTTTAAATGAAAGTCTTTATTAACAAAGGCTATTTTAATCCTTGTAAATTTGTCTTAATGTTAAATAGGATAAGATGCTTAATAGTTGTAATTCAACAGTTTATTCCAATTTAATCCTTATGAATGAATTTGTGAAGAGCTTGTTTCTATTTTAATAGAAACCATAACTCACCAGGTATTTAGGTAGATGTAGCTACCTATATTGGAAAATGAAAATTTATAGATGTTTTATCATTAGGTTAGTGTAAAAAGGTCAAGTGAAGGATATGATAAATGTTGGTTTAAAAGTAATTTATCATTAGGCATTAGGCATTACACCTTATTTTCTTCCTTCCTTTCTTTTTTTTTTTTTGGTACCAGGGATCTAACTCACAACCTCACACTTGCCAGGCCGGCACTTGTGCTACCCGGCTAAATCCCCAGCTACATCTTACTTTAGAACAAGTATAATTTACAGAAATTATACAAGTCATTTTTTGTCCAGTATTAACACGTATTTAGCAATCTTTTTTTTTCCTCCCCCTTTTACCTGAAATAGTATTTCAATTGTAAAAACCATCTCTGGTTATGAAAAAAAAAGTATCAGAAACCTTTTTGGAATTAGCATAATTTACAAATGTCCTAAGACTTCTTAAGCTACACAATATTTTAAGTAGAAAAATGCTAGTAATAAAAGTTTGGTACTGGTTCTGTGATTTATGTGCATATGTTAACTGGTCTCTCAAAGGCAACCAAACTAAAAGTCGATTATATTAGGCATTGTAAAATAAAGACAAAGCCTAATCACCTTTTAACAAAAATTGTATACAACACTTCCAAGTATCAAGGATACCATTTAGTGGTTAACTGCCCAGTACAAAATACTAAACAAAATCTGTTTACTGGATTGTTTTTTACTTGCAGTCACTCTGTTATTTAATTAAGGATTTCTGATAAGTAAAACTTACACTACAATTTTCTTAAGTGTGGATCATTCTATTCCCCTCATTACATACTTAATTTTCTCCCCCATTGCCACCACACCCCCACTGTGTACTGTACTATTAAAAACATTAAGTGAATAATTTCAAATGATGTATAGCTCCTCATACAAAATAGATGTTTTGTGGTCACATACTTCAAAAAGTAATTATATTCAAATAACCTGACATACACCTTAGCAATTACAGCAATTACATTTTTGACACATGGCAATTTTTATAAGTTAAGCAAATGTGAAGTGCTAAAAGATGTGAACAGCTGTTCTTCTGTTTAAGTGTTCTGTTTAAGAGTGCCACAAAATTCACATAGTGACTTTATTTTTTATTAACGTAACCAACCTACAGTACAGAATGCTAAGTCTTAAAGTAAAAATCCAAAGAAGGTAATAACTTTAGTAAGTTACAAATCTTTTGGCAAACCAGTACAGTATTCTTCAATACAATAAATATTTCCATTGGAAGATAATTTTCACTGCAGAAATAAAATTTAAGTACCAATTCATAACACTGTGGTTTCTAGCAAAACAAGTTATTTTATACAAATTAATGTCTTTTGCAGCTTTACAATTTCTTCTTTTATTTTATTTTTTTATATTTTGGTACCAGGAATTGAAGAATTGATCTCACAACTTCTCGTTTGCCAAGCAGGCACTTACGCCGCTGAGCTAAACCCCAGGCCCCACAATTTCTTCTTTTAAAGAGAGCTCTTTAAGCACATAGTTCTAGTTTGCAACAACGAGGTAACTGTTCTTACCTAGGATGTGGCTGTGCTTCATTCTAGGGTTGGTCCACAGCCAGAGAAAGTCCCAGTGCCTGAAAAGCTTTAACATTCAACCTTAAGAGGACTCACTGTCAATGTCAACTTTTAAAGAAATGGTTACATTTTCACATAACCCTCAAACTAGAACCCTAATAAAGTCATTTTAAGTCATACTAATATCAGATGATGTGATTTAGAACCCTTCTATGTTAATGTTTGATGAAAATCATATAACCTTACTCCAGTTTACCAAAAAGAAATTCTACCTAAAATATAGTCATATTTTTTAAATAACAAATTTATTGTCAGCTTGGAGAGACTTGGTACCTATGCCAACTTTATCATTTCTCTGTGAAGACTGCCGCTGCCAGTGGTCTTTATGCTTCCTCTTGCTGAAGCTGCCAATTCTTCAGTTTCAACATTTACTTTATGTATTACCCATTCCTTTGCTTCTTGGCCTTGATTAGCATTGAAGATATTGTGCTTGACACCAGTCTTTCAAGGTAACTGCTGAGTCTGACTCCTTTCACTGATTATGGCTCCCTGAGTCAAAATAGTTTTTTCTGGATCCTGAAGATGTGGTTTGTATATAAAGTTCTCATTTACTGAAACCATATTTGTAAATGAAATATTAGTAGATTTAAGTTCCATTGTTTTTTTCTACAAGAATGTTCTTGCACATATGTTTGGTTCTTGCTGCACCAATAATGTACTTCACAGAGGAAGGCAGTCCCCATTGTTTGCTGAGAAGTCTGTGGCCATACAGCTTTCCAGAGGGATCTGTATGTCTGTCCAGCACACCAACTGACCACGTGCAGAGGGTTCACAGGGTTTGGGTATTTCTGCATCGCAGCTTTTGTAACAGTTCCCACGGATGGTCAAATACATGCTCCGAAGTTCGATCTTCATGGTACAGCGGCCTGCTCAGTGTTTGGGGGTGCTAGGGGGACAATGAGGCACAGAGTACAAATTTTAAAATCTACTTGGTAACACCAGGTTTTGACTGCTTCTTAGACATTGTCATTTATGTGCTCTAACTTATAAAATATAGGAGATTCGAATTCTCTTGATTTTTACATTGGTGATAATCCATTAACTGCCAATAAATTTTCTCCCATTTGATAATCGAAGGATCTAGCTTACTGAGTAAGTAGTCATCACCCAGACTTTGTGGTAAGCAGTGGCCCCTTCTGCCCACAGGTGTCCCAGGTGGATACCATCTGTGAGTGTCTGCTGGATCATGAAGAGCAAGTTCTGAGGGATGCACCGCTGGACTCTGTCGAATGGGCCGAGGTGGCAATCAATGTCAACACTATTCTCAAGGTGCGACCTGACGCGGATGCTGTTAGCCAGTCAGGAGCGCAGAGCCAGGAGAGGAAGAAGGGGCTTCCTTAGTGCTGCTCTGAATTGCCAGTAATTTATAAGGGCTTAGCTATTTGTTAACTCCAAAAAGTTAGAAAAATACTCATTTTATCACTCACCTAACAAATATTTTGAATGTTTGCCTTCTGCAAATTATACATTTCTGTGATCCCAAGTTTCTATTAGGTAGAATAAACTTTTATTTGTAGAGGCACGTTTCTGTCATTGAAGTATTAGTGTGTATGCCTCTCTTTCTTTCTCCTTTGCTCAGCTGCCCAGGCTGGCCTTGAATTCCTGAACTTGAGCAGTCCTTCCACCTCAGCCTCCCAAGTGCTTTGAGGCCTATGCCACCATGCCCAGCTTCTAGTTCTTAATTGCTGAAAACTTGCTTTTACATTATTAAAAGGCTGTATTTAATTTCAGCCTTTAGACTTCATAGTTCTAATTTTCCTCCTGCAGTTGTTATACCTTTCCAAAATCGAAGTTAAATTGTGGAACAAAACAAATTTCAGAAGCAGAAAAGAACCAAACAATGCTGAATGTTTTCTTTATCAGTAGACTTCAAGTTTCAGATTGTCTTCAGTAACATGGCAATCCATTGCATCCCACTTGTATAACATAACACATTGATTTTCCCAGGATATACTGCAAGCTGCTAGTTACTATCGCCAAAACAGAAGCTCCTTGTATAGAAGACAAGAACCACCAAGAAAAGAGCCTGAGTACATTCCATGGACAGGTACTAGACTCTTGTATTAAGAGTTTCTCAAAGTAGAGTTCTAAGGGCCCATCGTGTTTGGAAGCTATTATTCCCTAATACAGGTTTATGAGTAAAATGAAAAAAACTTAAAGTGTCATCTCCAAAGTGAGCAGTTCTTGTCAACATCACTTTTATCCTTTGGCTACATGTATAGAGTTCCCTATTTGACCAGTACTTACTATATACCTACTAGGTTTTAATACAAACTGTAGAAGCCAAACTTGACCCTAGAGGAATGGGCTACATTTTATGTTGATTTAAGATCACAAAGTAACTGGGGTAACATTGAAGGCGTTTAGGAGGAAGGAGCCTGCTTACCTGATTGAACTGGGGAAATCTCTACAGAGAAGAAGGGTTCAAGCAGGGCAGGCAGGGTCAGCTGAATACTAATTTATCTTTCAGTAGCAGTGAAGAGACACAGTTTCCAGGCATTCAGTCTTTTCCCTTCCATCATGGAACTCTTGCATACTAAGTTACCCTGTGTGACTTCACAGCAACCAGCAGTCCTGCAGGTGTCCGAACAGCAATCATCCGCCAGCACGGAGTCATCCTGAAGACAGTTTATCCTCAGGTGGACAGCCACCTCCGGAACACCTTGACAGAGCAGCTGGTCACGCTGATTGACTGCTTCCTGGATAGTTACGTTTCACAGTTGAAGTCCCTAGACAAGTCTAATGATCAAGAAAGATATGACAACCTCGAAATGGAATACCTGCAAAAAAGATCAGAACTCTTGTCTGCTCTGCGTAAGTGCATAATATTTAACAAGGTTCCTGAGTTTACAGAATAGCTGAAGGGCTTACCTGGCCGAAGTTGTGAAATCACTGTAGCAGGATTAATCCAGACATAACCAAGAGCTTAAAGAGAAGCAAACAAGTACAGCTTTGTGTTCCTTTATGAAGCCTTTTTTAAAAGTACTTACTGCATACTAAAATGTGGGTAAATTAACCTGGGCAGACTTCCCCTGAAAGCACAGCATCGCTGGCCTTTACATGAATAAGCAGAGTCTGGTAAGGGCTGGTAGAGGGTACAGGTGGCATAGTGTGATAGTTAGCAAAGGTACAGTCCTCACCAGCTTAGGCACAGGTTTACAGAGGAAGGGCACTGTTGCCAAAAGCAGTGATGAAACTGCGCTTTCCTGGCATCTTTACCAGGTGTGTGAGGGTGTATAACAGAATCCTAGTCACTGGGAAGCTTCCATTCCATTAGTTACTCTTAGTATATAATATGAATAAAGGTAAAATCTCAAGTGATATTTTCTGCTACATATTTAAGTTTTGCTGATAGGATTTTTTCCATTGGTTCTCATTTCCAGTCACTTTAGGTCAGTACCCTTGTGCTGCTTCTCTAGCAGAGAAGTACTGTGACTTTGACATCTTGGTACAGATGTGCGAGCAGATGGACAACCAGACCAGACTGCAGCGCTACATGACCCAGTTTGCTGATCAGGTCAGGACACGGGGTATGTGGGTAGTGGGGCATGCTGTGGTGAGGCTTTGCCTCTTGCTGGGGCTTTGGAATGAAACACCATTTTTTTGTAAGTAATATAAATAAGAAGATGCTGATTCGCATGTGGTGTTTAAGTTGGCTGTTGGTTCTTTATGTATAAATATTACTGAGAGGTTTTCTAGCCTTTGCAAAATGCTAAATCTTGCCCTTTGTTCTTATTTAATGGTGATGAGAGCATTCATACACAGGGACATGGGAGATGTCTTGGGTTTGAACCAAGGATCCTAAGGAGCAGAGCATGCTGCTCATAAAGAGCTCAGTTCCTCGAGTTGGACGTCAGTTCAGATTTTTTTATTTTTTTAAAGTTTTTTGTATTTATTTATTTATTTTGGAGACAGAGTTTCACCGTGTATCCCAGGCTGGCCTTGGACTCATAGTGATCCTCCGTAGCTTTCCAAGGGCTGGGATTATATGTGTGCCACCATGCCCAGCAAGATTTTTAAATGAAGTTTCATTTTGGCACTATTGGGTGACTTAGGTTGCTCCTTAAACCCATTTTATTCAGTGAGTTTTGTATAAAAGGTGATTTTTTTTCTACCAAGAAAATAATATTAAACTCATAATTCTACCACCCAAAGGGAAGCCTTCCAAATACTAGATTTATAGTCTTCTAGTTTTCTATTCTGTATCATAAATAAGTGCTTTGTCAATTGCTTTTTTTCACATAATACATCTCAGATACATTAAATAGTCCACAGCAATATTGTTGTTATTGTTTGTGAGGCAGGATCTCAGTGTAGTTTAGGCTAGCCTTGATTTCACTTTGTAGCTCAGGCTGTCCTTGAGCTCATGATGATCCTGTCACCTCAACTTCTTGAATGCCTTGGCTTCTTGAGTGCTGGGGTTATAGATGTGCACCACCACACCTGGTTACAGCGACATCGCTAATAGTGTCAGTTTTTTATTGACTGATCTCTGGTTTTTGGGCCTAGTTTGTCCAGTATTCCACAGTAGTGCTAAACTAAATACTTCTGGCTTATCATGATTTGGGGGAGGTGCACCGGGAATCAAACTCAGGACCTTGTACTTGCTAGGCAGGCACTTGTGCTGCTGAGCTATATCCCCTGCCCTTTATCATGATTTTTTAATTTTTTTAAAGGTTCTAGTTGTCAACATAGTTTTCTATTTTTGCTTTTTTTTTTTTTTTTGTCTTTTTCATTTTTTTTATCGGTACCAGGGATCGAACTCACGACTGCCTGCTTTCAATGCAGGTGCTTATGCCGCTGAGCTAAATCCCCAGCCCCGCATTTATTTTTCTTTAGCAGGCTTAATAGTTATTTTTGTGCTAACATCACACATTATAGGGCTGCTTTGGTTGCCTTTTTTTTTCCTTGCCTTTGAGGCAGTCTTGCCATGTAGCCCAGGCTAGACTCTCAATCCTGCATCAGCCTCCTGAGCACTAGGGTTATAGGAATGCACCACTGCACTTGGCTTGGATGCGTCCTACTTATGCTGCTTATTAGGGTTTTCTGCTTCTCTTTTTTTTTGTCTTTTTCTTTTCTTTTTTACTGGTACCAGGGATCGAACTCACAACCACACACTTCCAAGGCAGGTGCTTATGCCACTGAGCTAAATCCCCAGCCCCCCGGCTTTCTGCTTCTTAATGTCATAATAATTTAAGGAACTGTGGGAATGGAAATGGATGTTATTTTCCTCCTAGAAGGGTCCCCTTTCTTCTCCCTCCCAGACAGGCCAAGTGAGAGGCAGATCACTTGCGTATCAGGATTGGTGGTGGCCCAGCACTTGTCTCAGCTTTTGTTACATGCATTTTACTGCTGACCTCAGGTCTTTCAGGGAAGTTCTTCTGTTGCAGCAGGATCCCTGCCTGGGTGCAAGTATCTCCTAAGCTCAGCCTACAGCCCCATCTTCGGCAGCAGCTCAACACTCAGCATGCATCCTAAAGGACCTCCCTGGATTCCCTTGTGTCACCCAGTGCACATAGCACTTCATAGCACTGTCCTTGGAGGTCCCTTATCCTGAGTCATCTGAGTCTTGGTGCTGTCCTGTAGACAGAAATGTTTCGTATGTTTTGTCCAAAAGGAAAGAGATGCTGCATGTGTGTGACTGTCAACCAGCTGAGAGGTCATTGTGCCTGAGGAATGGAATTTTTAATGGTGTTAGTTTAAATAACAGCATGTAGCCTGGGGCTCTTACACTTGCTGATGCATGTCAGGTTCTGTCATAAATGACCCTGGTGATCATGAACAGAGTCCTGAGCCTGAGGTGATTGTCTTAGAAGTACAGAAAAGTTGTTTCTTCCACGTGGAAATATATTGTAATAATAGGTACCAGTATATTCCTAAAACAAAGTAGGAAATTACTAGTTGAAAGATTTCTGTTTGGAGTCTTTGAAAAAAGATATTTAGTAGCCTACTAATATGTTTTTAAAAGCTATATTACTAAATATTAATGGGTTTCTGGTTCTGTTATTTGTAGAATTTTTCAGACTTTCTCTTCCGTTGGTACCTGGAAAAGGGAAAGCGGGGCAAATTATTATCTCAGCCCTTGTCTCAGCACGAACAGTTGGCAAATTTTTTGCAAGCTCATGAGCACCTCAGCTGGTTACATGAAATTAGTAATAAAGAATTAGTAAAGGTAAGAAAGATTCACTTATATGAAGCTGATGTGTACAATTTAAGTGTGTTTTTGTCATTAAAATGTTTTGTGTAGCTGTACATATGATAAGAGCTTAATACTAAACTATACAAAGAACTCAAGAAAATAGCCCAGTTAAGAAGTGGTTTTTAAAAAAATTAAGACCTGAGTAAACATTTCTCAAGAGGTGAACAAATGACAGCATGGTGGCACATACCTATAATCCCAGCACTTGGGAGACTGAGATAGGAGGATTACTGTGAGTTCAAACCCAGCCTGGGCCACATAGTCAATTCAAGATCAGCCTGAACTACACAGTGAGACCCTGCCTCAAGAAAACTGTAAAAAGAAAAAGAAAAGTGAAAAAATGGCCAACAGATACCCAGAAGTTTTTCTCAACATCAATAGTTAAGATTATGCAAATTAAAACTACCATGAGGTCTCACCTTATACCTGTCAGAATGGCCCTTCTGAAACAGTTGAGTGATGACAGACATTGGTGAGGATATGGACAAAAGGGAACCCTTGCACACGATTGGTGGGAATGTAGCTTAGTTCAGCCATTAGGGAAAACTACACAGAGGTTCCATGAAAAGCTAGAAATAGAAGTCTGCCCCAGCAACCTTTCTTCTGGGAATATATCCAGACGATGAGAGAAACCACTGCACACCCAGGTTCACTGTGGTGCTATTTATAATAGCCAATTTAAGGACTCAGGCTGAGTGTTAGTGGGTGAACAGATAACCAAGATGTATGTGTACATGTACACAGTATAGCAATGCTACCATCTGCAACAGCACAGGCGAACCTGGAGGATGTCATGCTCTGTGAAGTAAGCCAGGCACAGAACGACATACACTGCATGGTCTTAGTTACATGTGGAATTTGAAAGAGCTGGCCTCAGAAGGTGGTTGCAGAGGCTGTGAGGGAGTAGAGATGCTGGTCAGAGGGCAGAGTTTCAGGTTGGTAGGAAGAAGGTGGTTGTAGGTAATAATAGAGTCATGTATTTCAAACCTGCTTAAGGAGTCAAGTTCAATTATTTGCATCACAAAAAGTCCTTTAGGTGGTAAATGTTAATTAGCTTTATTTAATCATTCTACATTGTATACTTTGGACTCCATCAAAATACACAATTATGATTCAGCAGTTTATGGATTATCAAAATGTGTATCTGCTCCAAGTATCTCCCATAATTTGAATAGAGCATTTTTGATTTACAGTAGTGTTTCTATGATGTACAAGATCTCAGATATTATATAGACCAATATGCTTTGGCTGCTATTATAAAATAAAGCACAAACATTTTACTAACTTGTATATAATAGTCATTGGCTTTTTTAAAATAAGCAACACTTTTTTTTTTTTTTTTTTTTTTTTGTCTTTTTGAAACAGGGTCTTGCTAATACAGTTCAGGCTGGCCTTGAACTCACGTTGTAGCCCAGGCTGATCTTGAACTTGCAAGGATCCTCCTGCCTCAGTCTCCCAAGTGCTGGGATCACAGGCATGCACCACCATGCCTAGCTAAGAAACACATTCTTATATTAAAAATAAATTAGGAGTAAAAACAAGGAATAAACTAATTTTAAAGTGTGTTCTTGAGGGAGTAGCTGGGTAAATACGCAGTTATTATAGAACAGATGGTTATACATGTCTTTTCCCCTTAATTAGTGTGTGTGGTTGAGGTTCTATTGTGCTTTTACTGTCAACTGTAGTAATCACCAGTGTGACTTTGTTGAGATAGCTTAGGGAGAAAAGGCAAGTTTGCAATGCATGTAACCTTCACTTCAGGACTGTGTTGGTACTCAGGATTTTACAGTTCCCGTGTTTTATTTATCATAGGCTCACGCAACACTTCTGAGTTTGGCAAATATGGAAACTCGTTACTTTGCAAAGAAAAAAACTCTTCTTGGCTTAAGTAAATTGGCTGCTTTAGCTTCAGACCTTTCAGAGGATGCACTGCAAGAAAAAATTGAAGGTAAAACAGTTTGCTTAAGAGAATGACCTATGACACAGGCCATCAGCTACCTCTGATCATCTCTGCTGTAGGAGGAACGGCCTTTATTCAGCATGTATGGATAGTTAGTTGGTTATGTACTTAATGTTTTTGTTTGTTTGTTTTGGGTTCTTTTGAGACAGTGTCTCACTAATTTGCTCGTTTGCCCAGAATTTATGATCTTTCTGCTTTCGCCTCCTGAGTAGCTGACATTACAGGCATATGAAACACATACATACTTACTTACCTATATGTTTTTAAAAGAGAAAACCAATTTGTATTTTAAATAATTCCTAAAGAATAAATTGAAATGATTTTGATTATCCACTTAGTATGCTAAGTTAAAAGAACTGCAAAGAAATCCTGGCCTTTCAGGATGGGTAGTGGTATTGGTACTGAAATACTACGTACTGAAAATACTATGTACTATGTATTTACTATGTAAATAGAGAAAGTAATTAAACATGATTCTATTTTGAGATCCAAAGAGCAGGGAATTGCAAGTACAAAAGAAAACAAAGGAGAACCCTGTTATGCTTTTGAACTGGAGACAATTGGATGAAATCTGATTTTTTTCTTTTCTGTTTTTAGTATGAGGGACTGATTCAAGGCCTTCACACTAAACTACATTTCCAACCCCTTTTATTTTTTATTTTGAGATGGGGGCTTGTTAAATCACGTGGGCTGGGCTCAAACTTTGATCCTCCTGTCTTAGTTGGGATTATATCACATGTCACGATGCCCAGTAAGATCTGATTTTTTTAAAAAATGCGGACTCTTTCTAGGGAAAGCACTTGGCCTAACACTGAGGGTACACCTGGTGCTGTTTGGTTTTTCACTACCACTTCCACTGAAAGGATCTGAGCCCATCAAATAGATGCCTTTGGAGTCCTATCAGGCCAGAAAAGCAGCATAGACATAGAGACTTTGGACCCAAGAGTCTTGAATCCCATTGGCCAGGTTGATATAATTTGAACAACCAGAGCAAGGGTTGTTAAAGGATTCTGTATCACAGGTTTTTTGTTTGTTTTCCTTTTGTCAATACTTGGGATCAAACTCCAGGCCTCACACATGCTAAGCAAAGTGCTCTACCACTGAGGTCTACTACATTTCATGGTTTACAAAGAAAAACCCTGAATCCACAGTGATAACCAGAATGAGAAAAAGTCAGTGAAATCTTTCTTTACAGAAGAATGACAATTAATAAATGTGGAAAGGTGTAGTGGGAGTTGCCATTTTGTAGTAACAGTAAATAACTGGTCTTCAAAAGAGACAGGAATTGTAATGCAGATGGATTACAAGTTCGAGGCTAACCTGGGTAACTTAGTGAGATCCTGTCTTACATATAAAAAAGATGCTAGAACCATGGAGTTCAGGGCTAGGGAATCAGACATGCCCATGTTTTTGAAGTATCAGTGCACAGAACTAATGCACCAGAGCCAATCTCAACCCAGTTCCACAGCACCTACACTGTGTTCTTGCCAGTGTTTTACATGATTCCAGATCTAATCACAAGGGAACACTCAGATCATTTCTGACAGTGGAAGACAGGTGATTTGGGATGAGATGAGTTAAAGAGCCAGAACACACACACACGCATGCTTTTTGGGATTCTTGGTTGGATCTCATATCTTCAAATGTCCAAAGCAACTATGATGAATATTATCAGGACAACCAGGAAAGTTTAACTGTGTTTGATTTAGATGGTATATCATACTGTCTTGATGTTGAGTTCTATGGTCTTGGTCATGTTGCAGATAAATGTGTTTTTGAGAGATAAGTTCTAAAGTGTTTGGGGAATGAACCCTCATGATGTCTGCAGCATTGACATGATGGGGAAAGGAGGGAGACATAGACCAGAGGAGCGGAATGTTCCCATAATGTGGCTAGGTAGACATACAGCATAAACCAGATTCCTTAGAAGTTTTTATAGATTTGGGATTTTTGTTGTTGTTGTTGTTCAAAATAAGAATCTGTGCTTTGTAGTTGGGGTGAAGTATATGCAGACATGGATATTTGGTTGGATGTCTTAGCCATGGAGTCCAGCCTTTGAGGTCTGTTTAGATGGCTCTGCTTCCCCCGTGTCCCTCTTTATAGGAGTAAATATAGTAAGAGGAAAAGAATTTGGATAGATATAGTTTCAAAGATTCAGACTTTATTAGTTCTGTGAATTTGGATATTTTGTTTATTGTCCTGAGCCTTAGTTTTTGCCTGTAAAAGCAGTCTTAAAAGTTGATGCTAGCTGGGTGCATGCCTATAATTCTAGTATTTGGGAGGCTGAGGCAGAAGGATTGTCATGAGTTCTAGCCAGCCTAGAATACATAGTGAGTTCAGGACCAGCCTGAGCTGCATAGCAAGACCTTGTTTAAAAAAAAAAAAAATTGAGGATAGACAGGTGTGGTGCACATCTGTAATCCCAGCACTTGGGAAGCTGAGGCAGGCGTGAGTTTGAAGCCATCCTGACTTACATAGTGATACCCCAACTCGAATAAAACAAAAAAAATTGAAGGCACTATGTTTCTGAGAATAATGGCTTCCATATACTAGTACTCATAAATCACACGTACCAGCATTTAACTTTTATTATTGAAATTAGTTTCTTTGTTTGAGAATCTTCCTGGTGTAGGTGATGGAAAGCCTCCTTCTGCTGTACCATCAGCTGCTGACCTGAAAGAGAAGGCCATAGTGACCCTCGAAAGGTGACTGTTTTAACCCAGGACTTGATTATTCCTTGTTTTCCCCAGATTTCACTGGGGTTCTGGTCATCATCTGGCATCACTTAGCTTTTGCCTTCTTAACCCAGAAGAGTGTTTTCAGGTCACATTGATTCCCTGCAGACTGTGTGTCCAGTCACAGGGGAGAAGGCTTTTTATAAAAACTTTTTTGGTTGTGACTAATTGTGAACTATAGAAAAAGACAAAGCTGTGTGTATGTAGTTTCCCAGTCTGCTTTTTCAGGCATGAAAATGCACAAAAAATGTTGTATGTAATATCTGCAAAATGGAGAGTGTGCTGTGAGTGGGCATGCCTGTGCTTCAGCTACTCTGCTTGCTGTGCCTGCTGTGTGTGAGGCTTTCGGGGTAGCCCAGGGGGTAGAGGCAGGGAACAGTGCAGTGAGTGGGTCTACAGCCTTGTCCCATGAAGGAGATTCCTGCCAGGTAGAAGATTGGGTACATATTTACTCTGCGTGTATGTGTATATGTGTGTGTGGGAGGCGGTGGGTGTGTGGTGTGTGTGTGTGTGTGAGAGAGAGAGAGAGAGAGAGAGAGAGAGAGAGAGAGATCCCATGACTGTACTGTACACTTTATGAGCTGTTCTCCAGTAGGGCTGAGAGACCTCACATGTCAGCCTCACCTCCAGAAACAGCTGAGCACTTTTCCTTTCATCTCCCCTCCTCACTGCTCCCACCGGTGTGATAGATAGCTCATATGATTTGAATCAGATGAATGTTGTATATCTTGACAGTAGTCAAGAAAAATTCATAATTGCTAACATCCCAAGGTTATTAGAAAGGGGTCAGATTATCTGTATGGCTATTTTTTTTTGTAACCTCATTTTGCATCAGAGCAAAAGTAAAAGTCACATCATTCTCCTTTCCTCCCTGAACTAGTGATGGCGGAACAGGAGCGTTTCCTGCTGCACCAGGAGACCCTGCCCGAGCAGCTGCTGGCTGAGAAAGAGCTGAGCCTCAGCGCCATGCCAGTGCTGACCGCGCCGCAGCTCATCAGCGTAGGTGTTCCATCCTTGCCTGCTCCACCTGAGTGTGGCTCCTGGAGGAGCCCTTCTGCTCTCCACCTTCCTGAGAACTTGTTCCTAGGAAATATATTGGAAACTGCTAGGAGCATGAAGCTGGTTAGCTTTCCCTCCCTGTACAACTGCGCAGGAGGCCCTGAGGAATTCCACATAGTTTGTCCTTTCCTAGTGCATAAAGGGAAGTGTACACCAAGAAGGTCTGGTGTCTCCCAGAGTGCTATGCTTCAGGCTCTTCTGAGAATACAGTGACTTGTACCCCCTCCCTGTTGCCTGGTAGGATTGGTGTTTGTGCATCTTCACCTGGCTCTCAGAAGGCATCTCACATGCAGGAGTAGGGTTGTAGGGCCACCTGAAATTTGCTCTGTGATAATCCAACCACCTAAGCATTGGCCTTTGTTAGTAATAGAGTTTCTATAACTGTGCTCACAGCAGCCTCTTCTGGTAGAACATGTTTAACCTCATAATTTAGGTGTCACTGAAAGGGAAAAAGCAGTATTGATTTTATTTGGATACAGTTTTTAAAATAATTTACAAGGGAAGCATTTCAAAAGCCATATAAGTAGATTTAAAAGTTCAAGGATGGCAATTTATTTCAGATTATGTGCAAAATAATGCTGAAATTTATATATTATCTTTTGGAACCTAAGAATATAAATTTCCTGATATTTTAGAAGTATGTGCACCAGGGCTGGAGATTTAGCTCAGTGGCATAAGCACCTGCCTTGCAAGCACACAGTCATGAGTTTGATCCCTGGTACTGATTAAAAAAAAGAGCAAGAGTATGTGCACCAAGTTACGTAAATTAATTTCTGCTTTAGAATATGTATTTTTTAAAAGAGAGTTTATTAGGAAATAGATGAAATGTAGTTCCCAAATGTGATACTGTTCTTGACTATAAAAATACTCCCAGCTTAATAAAAAGAAGACATACAACTCCTCTGTAAATTTCTCTAGTGTTATTAATTAGAATAATTCTCTTTCTTACTGTGATTTGCCACAGCTGTACATCTGTGATGAAAATAGAAGAGCTAATGAATATGATTTTAAGAAAGCTTTGGACTTGCTAGAATATATTGATGAGGTAAGTAAACTCCCTTGATGATCTCAAGTAACTGAATATGTATAAATAGCTTCTTTTAGTCAGTCATGAAAATGTACTCATAAAAAAAGACTAATTTTCAGTTCAGTTACTCTTATCTTCTTAGAAGGCATCCAGCCCTTTAAAAAAGCTGCCAAAAGATTCTAATTCCTAATAATCCTCACACATTCCCAGGTAACTTTTTCTGTGCACAAATAAAAAATGTGGGGGTTGGGGTATGGGTCAGTGGTAGAGTGCTTGCCTAACGTGCAAGATCTTGGGTTCACCCCTTTTGGCTCTCTGAGCGGCACCATGGCGGTAGGCAAGAACAAGCGCCTTACGAAAGGTGGCAAAAAGGGAGCCAAGAAGAAAGTGGTTGGTCCATTTTCTAAAAAAGACTGGTATGATGTGAAGGCACTGGCTATGTTCAACATAAGAAATATTGGAAAAACACTAGTCACTAGAACTCAAGGAACCAAAATTGCGTCTGATGGGCTCAAAGGTCGTGTGTTTGAAGTGAGCCTTGCTGATCTGCAGAATGATGAAGTTGCCTTTAGGAAATTCAAGCTAATTACTGAAGATGTTCAGGGCAAAAACTGCCTGACTAACTTCCATGGCATGGATCTCACCCGTGACAAAATGTGTTCCATGGTCAAAAAATGGCAGACCATGATCGAAGCTCATGTTGATGTCAAGACTACCGATGGTTATTTGCTTCGTTTGTTCTGTGTTGGCTTTACTAAAAAACGCAACAATCAGATACAGAAGACCTCTTATGCTCAGCACCAACAAGTCCGCCAAATCCGGAAGAAGATGATGGAAATCATGACCCGAGAGGTGCAGACAAATGACTTGAAAGAAGTGGTCAATAAACTGATTCCAGACAGCATTGGGAAAGACATAGAAAAGGCTTGCCAGTCTATTTATCCTCTTCATGATGTCTTTGTCAGAAAAGTAAAAATGCTGAAGAAGCCTAAGTTTGAATTGGGAAAACTCATGGAGCTTCATGGTGAAGGTAGTAGCTCTGGAAAAGCTACTGGAGATGAGACTGGAGCTAAAGTTGAACGAGCTGATGGATATGAACCACCAGTCCAAGAGTCTGTTTAAAATCCAGATTTTTAATAGTGATAAATAAAATCCTATTTGTGACAAAAAAAAAAAAAAAAAAAAAAAAGATCTTGGGTTCAATTCCAGGCACCACTAGGCCCTCTTCTACCAGAGAGTATCTTCAAAGTCCTGAGGGTTTTCTTTTCTCTCATAGCATTGACCTAAGAAATGTTGATTCTCTAAATTTAAAACATTGTAGTAGGAATTCTGTTGGATAAGTAGTTGTTCTGTTTCTTGACCATGCAATTGAAAGTTACTTGGAAGTTGATGAAAATGACTTTATTTTATAGCCTTGCTTAAAAATCTTAACCTTAGGGCTGGGAATTTAGCTCAGTGGTGTAAGCACCTGCCTGGCAAGCTCAAGGTTATGAGTTTGATCCCTGATACCAAGAAAAAAACTTAACCTCTCAAAATTGTTGATGTAGTCAGGATGTTAGAGAACACCAAAATCAAAACCTAATTCACATAGATACCGATTGGTTTATTTTTCTCTTCCTTCCTTGCCAGGCAGATGCTTGTGCTGCTGAGCTATATCCTCGGTCCTGACTGACAATTTAAAGAAAGGGAATGTTTTAGTTACAAATTAGAACAAAGCAATATTTATATAAGATTAGGAGTTGACATAAATAAATTTTAAACATGTATTTCAGTTTTAAAGTTAAGATTTAATCAAGATGTTTTGTTCTGCTGTGAAGGAAGAAGATGTGAATATAAATGACCTCAAACTGGAGATCCTTTGCCGAGCTCTGCAGAGAGATAAGTAAGTCTCTTGGCTGATCTAGTGCCATGTGAAATGGCCGTGATATCGTCACACACCAGATAGTTATACAAGCTTCTGGTTGTGTAATAATAACATGTTATGAACATGTTAGCAGTTGCACTAGTAATTTGACATTTTCAATTCAAAATTAAAGAATAACATAAAGACTTAGAGCCACTGGTGTAGTAAATCAGTCTGGATTGGTTTCGTTTTTGCTGGTTTTTTTTTATATTAGCAATTAGATTGTCTGTTTATCCAGAAATTATATGGTCCTTATAGTCACAGAAGTTGAACCTATTGTACCAGACAAGACTCAAAGCTATATTTTATTTTTCAAAAAGTGATTGTATTTTAATGGTCAATGCCTTCTTTTATTGTTGTTTTTGTTTGTTTGTTTTGTTTTGTTTTCTTTTTTTGAGACAGAGTCTTGCAGGCTGGCCTTGAACTTACTTTGTAGCACAAGCTGGTCTTGAACTCTAGGTGACCCTCCTGCCTTATCCTCCAGAGTAGGGATTACAGATGTGTGCCACCACACCCAGCTAGCATTTTCTAAGTCTTGGAGAATCGCCTTTTCCTCACCATCCTTTCATTTCTGTAGAGGAGCATTTCTTATGTGTATGCAGTGGCAAAGAACCTAGCACTGCTGTCGGGTAGGGATGGGTGCCCAAGGGAAAGTGGAAGGAGCAAGCCCTGGCTGAGCAGCTCCTCTGAATGTTCGCTTTCCCAAGGTGGTGAGAGGGAGGGCCCCTTTTACCAAAGTGCTAGGTCTCCCCAGCCACCCCCTCAGTTAAGAGTTGGGAGCCTGGTCTCTACATTCCTCTCTCAAGTGCCTGCTCTGGGCACCTTTGGTTTGCTGATTCTGTTCTGGTCATCCTTACTGGTGATCCTCGCCCTGGCTTCTTGTACGAAAGTTTTCAGGTATGTTGAGCCTTACATACACTGAGAAAATCAGGAGCATGGCAGGGATGTTGGTGAATAGCTGTCAGAGGGTGGTTTGCATTTGTACAGAAATTGAAGTATTCCCAACATTTGAGGTCCTTTGTTCAGAGATCTGAATCCAGACAAAGCCACAATATCAAACAGAAGTCATTTATCTCTGCTAAGTCCATGACTTCACTTCCCTCATGGTGATTTTTTTTCTAGCTGGTCTAGCTCAGATGGAAAAGGAGATCCAATTGAAGAGTCTAAAGGCAGTATATTTGTGAAAATCTTACAGAAACTTTTAAAAGACGGTAAGTGGTTTGTTACTATAAGAAATTACAATATTTTCAATTTTAAAAATCTTAAAATAATGGATGTTTGTCAAGATAGCAAATGATGAGGTTAAGATGAAGCAGTATCATACTCAAAATTAGAGATCTGTTTACTGAAGCACAATTTCAGAGTTTATCCACATTGACCTCCTGGCACTACTTTCCAAAGTTTAGTTTCCATTATAGCTGATTAAGTGTAAGCATAGGTCTGACTGATTGCTGAAGCTTGTTCAAAGTTGGTCTGGACTTTTACTTACAGAGAATAAGTACGTAGGTAACCTGGTTTAGGAAGTTAATTTTTTTTTTTTTTTGTAATTTTGGAAAAACCGTTTATGTTTTATAAGAAAGATGGCTGGGGTGGGGGTCATGGTCATGTTTGTTATCCAGTGCTGAGTTTACAAACAAAAACAAAATTTTGTGAAACACTTCTTTTTGCAAACCAGATTGTTTGCAAACAAAATCCTTTGTTAACCGAGGTGCCACTGTACTTCACAGGATGCTTAATGAATATTTCTGATTTCAAAGATAAGCAAATAGTCAGAATGTCAGCTAAACCTTTTCAATGTCAAAAAAATGAAAAATTTGGGGCTGGGGATTTAGCTCAGTGGCATAAGCACCTGCCTTGCAAGCAGGCAGTCCTGAGTTCGATCCCTGGTACCGATAAAAAGGAAAAAGACAAAAAAAAAAAAAAAAAAAAAAAAAGAAAAATTTAAAGAGATGTGGCAGGAGGAAATATATTTGCTTGAAATTCAGAAAGAGAGAAAATATATCTGTAAGGTTTGCATCCCTCCGTATTTGCAAGTGAAGAAGTGACAGGATGTGGTGTTCTCCACACCTGTCAGAGGCTCTGCCGCTGAGCCTGGCAGGTTCTGGGAAGCATTGGGTCCACATCTGACGCTGACCGTCAGGTAGCTTCCTGTAGTGTGTCCACTCTACAGGAGTTGTGCTTAAGTCCCCAGCACTGATATTGAGCACTGCTGCAGTGTTTGCTGTTCTTAGTAGATTTGATTTTGAGACAAGGTCCTGCTTTGTAGCCCAGATTGGCCTAGAACTTGTACTCCTTCTGCCTTAGCCTTCTGAGTTCTGGGAAGACAAGTGTGTGCCAGGTTTATTCTTAGCAAGAGTCTGCCTCAAAATAAAAAAGTCTAGGGGTGCAGCTCAGTGCTCCCTGGATTGGATCTGCAGCACTGGGGATAGAGTATGGCACCCAGTGTTGTGCACACCAACCAGGTCCTTGGGTCAGGGCCAAGCTTGTCAGGACCCTGTGGCCATCCTCTCTCCCTGTCATTGTCTGCCGTATGGTGTGGCTTTTGAGCATCACCCTGCTCCAGGGAAGAGAAACAACCATCTGATACTAGGTCTCAACAGAAGGCATTACCCGTAAAAGTCAAATAAGAAGTTTTACTAGAGAGTTGTTATTTTTAAAAACTAAGCCAGGTGTAGTAGCTCATGCCAATAATCCCAGCATTCAGGAGGCTGAGGCAGAAGTATCACCTTGAGTTAGAGACCAGCCTTGGCTATGTAAAGGCCAGCCTGGAGTACATAGAGAGATTCTGTCTAAATAAATAAATAAATAAATAAAATCTTTACAAATGTAACACAATTTTATAGAGAAAAAGTCTTAAATCAGCCTGGAGTACATAGAGAGATTCTGTCTAAATAAATAAATAAATAAATAAAATCTTTACAAATGTAACACAATTTTATAGAGAAAAAGTCTTAAATCATGTTCATTGTAATAAGTGATGTACAAATGATTCAAATTTAGCCCTATAACATTTATTAACCTAAGTTTTTATTATATAACAAATACAAAAATGCCCTAGACACTTCAAGGGATTTTTTTTTTTTTTTTTTTTTTTTTTTTGTCTTTTTCCTTTTTATCAGTACCGGGGATTGAACTCACGACTGCCTGCTTACAAGGCAGGTGCTAATGCCACTGAGCTAAATCCCCAGCCCTTCAAGGGATTTTTCCTTTTCTTATTTTTTTTTTTTTTTTTTTTTTTTGTCTTTTTCGTTTTTTATCGGTACCAGGGATCGAACTCACAACTGCCTGCTTGCAAGGCAGGTGCTTATGCCGCTGAGCTAAATCCCCAGCCCCTCAAGGGATTTTTTTAAGCACTAGTATTTGGTTTTAAGAACTGTATGATAATGTAAAGTTACATTATTATGTTACTAATTTAAAATTCCATCCAATTTTGTCAAATTAGAAAATCCTGCATGCTTTTGTTAACTTCATAGACTTCAACTTAAAACAGCCCATTTGTTCACTTGATGTTCCTGGGTTTTGCAGCTGTGTAGGTGGCTGCCTGCCCTGTTGACTTCAGCTGAGATCCTAGCACTAGCTCTTTAGACAGCATTTCTTCTAAATTCTTACTAGATCGAAGGATAATTATTCAAAATACTTGTTTTTAAATAACTTAGTTTAAAACTAAGTTTACACTGAAAGTAGGATCTTAAGCTGTAGGAGAAAATGAAGATCATCAGAGCCTCCTGAAGACTTTACATGAATGGCTTTTGAACAGCAGGAAGGGTCTGCAGCAGAGGCTGGCTGGACTTGAGAGAAGATGCAGGGGGTAGAGGAGAGCATCTCCCAGCAGCAGCGTGCGTTAGATCCTGAATAAGAGCACAAGGGCCGGGGATACAGCTTAGTGGCACAACACCTGCCTTACAACCACAAGTTTGTGAGTTCGATCCCTAGTACCAAAACTACATAGGAGCACAGGTGCTTCATTGTCAGTCGTTTTAATTCACTCAGGAGTTTTGCAAAAATGAAAGTGCCTGTGTTTATATCCACAGGCATTCAGCTCAGTGACTACTTGCCGGAAGTGACTGACCTGCTGCAATCTGATCACCTGGGAAACCTCAAGTCCAACCCATACTTTGAGTTTGTTTTGAAAGCAAATTATGAGTATTATGTCCAGGGGCAAATGTAATTTTCTGTAGATATAGAATTGTTTCTAAAAGTTAAAAATATTAGGCCTTAAACAACAAGAAGTTGACACCATTTTATGTTTGCAGATGAGGTTTTTTGTTTGGTTGGTTGGTTTTGTTTTTTGGTACTTGGAAGTTAATATTAAATAATTATGTAACTATAACTTTGGTTTTTAGTTACATGAATTTTTCTCTGCCTTTTTCTAGCTCAATTTTGTCAGCTGTTTTTAAACTTGCTGCCCTTTTTCCCATAAGTTCTGTACTTCTTGTCCTGGCTGTTGGTGTGCACAAATCACTTCTAGGTCTCAAATGTTTTTGTCATTTTTAAAATTATGGCCAGGGGTATGGCTCAGTGGCACAGCAGCTGCCTGGCAATTATGAGGTCCTGAGTTCAATTCTTGGAACCAAAGAAATAAATAAAAATTATGAAATTGCCTAAGATGTCTCTGAAATTGCTGTGATGCTGAATATTGTGTACCTGTCTGAGGCACTTAGCATCTGTTTTGCTTGAGACCAGTGGGAAATGTGTGTCTAGCAAGATAAATGTAAAGATTTACAGACATTTTATAAGGCAGAAGAAACAAAACAGAGTGGGGCTCATTCTTGTGGTTTTGATAACTGATTAACTTTTCTACATAAATACTGAATAGTACTAACAAAGCGCTTTAGTGGATAAAGTATGTATGTGGCTTCTCACCTTCCTGTAATTGTCTTTGAGGTTAATTGCACAGCACCATGTGAGTTACAGTGTCTTGGGCCTGGGATACCCTTCAGGTGTAATGTATTTTCACAATTTTTGCTGAGTTCTAGTTCCACCACAGTTGGCCCTAGTCACAAGTATGTGTAATGTTAGAAACTACTGTAGATTATCCTTACATGGGTACTGCAAAGTAATGTTCCCTCAAAACTTACTGTCCTACCAGTCATTACTCTGTTATCTGACCTTAAATAAAAAGATTAGGGCAGCAGCTGGCATACTTACACTTTGGCCAAATCAGTGATTACTAACTGCCTTACACAGTGCAGAAGGTCAGAAGTTAAACCTGGTGATTGGTCAGACTTCTGAGCCCTCCTCTTGTGCCCTCATACCTGGGACTTCCAGATCAGCTCTTGACTTGTTTGAAAGAATAGGTTATGGAGCTGTTTTTTTAACCAGAGAAGGAAGTTAGCAGCCTAGGCCTTGACTTATTGGGAAGAATAGGTTGATGGAGCTGTTTCTCTTAACCAAAGAAGAAAGTGAGGCACCCGGTCGTCTATTCATCAAAGAATTAGGTATGACTTTGCATAAATCAAGGAATCATAGTCACTCCTGGTAACACGTGACAGATTCCTTTGAAAGGTGTGTGTCTTTGGGCACAGCTGAGTTCCACTGGGGCCTTGAGTGATAGCAACAAGGTGTTGCTCTTGACTCTGAGCAGAGGAAAGGCAGCAGTAGCCACGAACTGACCTCAGAGGCTCGGTGCTGACTCTAGAGCCTTAGGGACACAGGCCCTGACCTAGTGTGGAGCTGAGACAAGTTTTCAAGACTGAAAGATGTTTCTCCTCTTACCAGGACTCTGGGCCTTCTGGAGAGGTTTGGGGGTGTCTATAAGAACGGGCTATGGTCTGGAAGGCTAGCTCGCTGGCATTGTGTGCTGCTGTGTCCCATGCACAAGGCACGTTGATGTCACCTCAGAAATTACTGGGCCCTACCACCTGTTCTGGAAATACCTGAAGAGAAGTAAGTTAAAATTCATGTGTAAAATGCCACTCATTAAATACCAAAGTACAGTCTCTAAGAAGTAGTAGTGTGTTTAAAAGAAGATCACAAAATGAAAAACCGGTATTTTAAAAAATTTTTTAAATCATTTGAAATAAAATAGACACTGTTAAACCCCCTGCCACTGGAAATAACTTTGGTTCCTATTTGAATTATACCGTAGAATGTTTTGGACTGTGTACTTTTTAATTTTGTAGCCTGCTTTTCTTCTGTGAACTGTTGTATTTCTTTCCTTGTATTTCAGAGTTTGTTAACCTTATCCCCGGTGATTGCCCTCCAAAGGAGCTCTTCTGAATAGTTTTCCTAGTTGCCTTCCAACCTAATGAAAGGTCAATGTCACATTTAATGTGTCTGTATCATTCGTGATTTGTGGGGTGGTGCAAATAAATGTAAATATTTAAGTTTTTAAAAATTTCCTAAGAACGAGTTTTTGCCCTCTTTGACAAAAGTGTTTTACTTTATTTTTGAATGAATGTTTTAAATATTTTTCAGGATATAGTTTTTTGATGACTGCATGACACTTTATTGTATGGCTGTACTATAATTTATAGCTTACCCTCTAAAATGAAGATTGTTTAACATTGTGAGGTTTTGCCATTTTAAATAATTTTAAATAAACTTGCTCATTCCAAGAACTTGTCCTAGCCTTGCCTGTTTACTTGTGAGGTGTCAGTGACCTGCGTTCACCTGTCCATCTTTCAGCCTCACCCCTGCAGGCCCCTCCTTCTCTAGAGAAGGCCCAGCTATAAACCCAGTGTTCCTCAGGTCCAGGCTTCAGGATGCCCTTGAACTCACTGTGTAGCCCAGGCTGGCCTTGAAGCAGTTGATCCATCTGCCTCAGTCCCCTGAGAGCTGGAAGTATAATTTCAGGCATGTGCCACCATGCCCAGCTTCAAGTCAGTCTTAGGAAGCAGATGTAACCGAGCTGAGAATTTGAAACCTAGAGTTGACTTCCCAAAGGCCACTCAGCAATTTGGTGGGTATGGGCCCTGCTGCGCTTGAACTCTCACTCATAGGGTGGCCATGGGCAGGAACAGCTAGCCTGTTGTCCCTTCTCAGATGACATAGTTGCCCATGAGGCCATTACTTTGCATTTCAAGATTTCTTCAGCTCTCCATTGGAGAAGATCCCTTAAGGATCTGTTGCACTTCCAGAACCACTGGATTAGGAAAATGCAAGTTAGGAAGCAGCCCCTTCCCTGCCCCTGGCACCCCAGTATAAGGAAGGGCAACGTGAGCCCTGCTCCCCATGACTGCTGTGCAGTCTGAGTGTGACCTTAGCACAGTGAGTCTCAGGCACTGGATGAGCAGTACCTGGTCTGTCCACCTGCAGATAGTGAGAAGGCTTAACTGAAACATGAAAGCCTGTCAGAGAGTTTTACACATTCGCATTTAAACTGGTAGGAAGTACTGGAGAGGCCAAGCCAGCAAGCTATGAGGAGTGAGGGGATGCAGGGAGAGAAGGGAGGCGAGCACTCAGGAGTACACGCCTGGCTGCACTGATGCCTGGAGCTGGGGCTTCACCTGCTCCAGAGTGGGAGTGGGGAGGCCTGGGTGACCCCAGGGACTGTAAGCCAGCACATCTGTCATGTGGCAGAGAGGGACTTCTGAACTTCTGGCCACCTGCTGTGTGCGGTGCTTGTTCCAGCAAGCCTTCCATAGCTTTGAGCACTTGGTTCATAGCTTTTAGGGGGGTTGAGTCTAATAAACTTAACTCAGACCTCAAAGAGCAGGGGAATGCACTGCCCAAGAGTTCTGCAGTATCAGCAGCTTGCCTCCCACAGGTGTCCGGTGGGTGACCCTACTGTCTTTCCTCCTGCAGAGCTCGGATGTAAGTATTTCACATTGCACTTGCTGGCTTACTTTTCTCTAACATTTCCACTACCCATGACGGAAGAGGATGTAGGGTGTTGAGGGGAATCAGTTCCATCCCTTGGTCCCTTGTTGTGTAACATAGTTGAAAAGCTGAATATGAAACCACTGGAGTTTTGGGCTCTTTCTGCTTACTACGTCGACTCCACTGACGCTACTTTGGTCATTTCAGGAAGAGCTGGATGGTGTGGGCTGCAGAGTGGGGTCAGGTGCCCTTCGTATCCTCCTCTTACAGAAACTACACCTGTCCCCTGCTGAATTCCACTACCAAATGTGAATTGTGACTATTTTTGGGAACACTTAAGACATCAGAAAAACAAATGACATCCCCAAGCACCCCATAAAATGTGTCACCAAGTATGTCACAGAGGCAGATGTCCTTCTAGGGCTTCTTGTCCCCTACCCCATCCCCAAATTGAGAAGTGCTAGCAGAATGGCCTCCACTGACCCCACTCTATTTTACCATAAGGAAATGCAGGTCCCCAGAAGCCCGAAAGGCATATCCCCATGTATCCACGGTATAAATAGAAGCTACGCACGCCCTGGCAGGTGGTGACTCCAAGGTGGACTGAGAGCAGCCTGGCCCACAGCATCATCCTCTAAATATAAAGACAAGTTTGCAAGAGGAGCCACTGTCCTGAGAGAGTGCATGGTCTCAGTCCTCCATAAGGACACTGCTTCACCTTCCCATCACCCACTGCCACCACCACATGTAGGCCCAGCCAGTCCCAGGGCAGGACATACTCAGTGCCATGAAGCCGGCGGGGTGGGGGGCTGCTAACAACACAGCTGACCTGGCAGCTGCTCGTGGGGAAAGGGACCCCCCCACACCTGACTCACTCCCTTTAGGACCTCTGAGCATCCTGCAGCACTGAGGGGACAGCCCCAGGGGCCCTGATGGCCAGCGCCTCCACCTCCTGTGGCGGAACCCCCAGCCTTTTCCCCCACCCGCACACCAGTTGTTTGCCCAGTGACAGCTGTGTGCCCTCAGGATGCCTGTGGCCTCCAAGGTGGGGGAGGGCCAATTTGAATCAGATCTCTGGCTTGGGGAACTAGGATGGAGTGGGAGAAATGGGGTTCAAGGTTTCTCCTGCCCTGCCAGTGTTCAGGGTGACTGCCTCTGCCCTTTCCCAGCCCAGCTGTTCCCACAGAAGCTACATGCCAGGTGGGGGCTGAGGAAAGGACCTTAGAGTTGTAGTGATTGTGGAGGGCCCACAGTCAGGTACCATTGGAGTGCCTGAGTGCACAGAATGGGTGGAATGGGGAGACCTTTGCAACAGGTGCAGCTCAGAGTTGGGTGCCCCAGCCCATCTCAAGCGGCTGGGAGGGGCAAGCCCACAGGGGAGACACTCCATATATGGCCTGGTCCAGCTTACCTGGGCTAGGGCCAGCCCGCTCCTTCTTTGGTCTGCCTAGGGGACCCAGGCAGGGCCCAGGCCAGGAACTAGCTGAAGGAGGGGACTTGTGCCGACACCCAAATATGGCTCTAAAGGGCAGCGACATTCCTGCGGGGAGGCGTGGGGGGAGTGCCCAAGGGCTATATAAAAACCTAAGCTGAGGACAAGTGCTCACCACAACGGACAGTCTCCCTCCCACGGCGACCGGCCGAGCCAGAGAGCAGCAGGTGTAACTACCCACCCAGGTAGGGTTGCAGGTGGGAGAGTACTGGGGGCAAGGCCCTCAGTGGGGTCACAGGGACATGGGCAGAACCCAGCTGGGTAGCCACAAGCCTGTGCCCTGCACTGCTCCGCCTCACAGGTCCTTTAAAGAAGAGACCTTGGGGTATGGAAATGTCTCCAGACTGATTTTCAGCCCATATGGGCGGCTCACCTGGCAATTAGGATGTGGACAGGGAGACAGAATGTGAGGTGTCAGAAATTCAGTGTGGCCTCTTTCTAGAGAGCAGCTCCTTCCCTACTATAGTCTAGAGCAGCAAATGCCACCCCTCTCTGGGATCACAGGACAAAGGGCCCTTTCTGAGTCTGAATTCCACAGCCCTTCCACGGGCAGCTCCTTCTGCTCACTCTGGCCAGGGAAGTATACATAGGGGGTTTTAATCCCTCTGATAGATGAGGCCTCTTGGGCAGAGGACAGATGCTAGACTAATGGTGAGCAGGTGGCTCACTGTGAAGGAGAGTCTACTTACTGTTCCCTTGGTGCCAAGCTGGAGGGCTTCCCAGTGTGGTCTCTCCACCCTGTGCCTCCATCCTCAGCAGCACAGTGCCGAGTTAGGTGAGGATCCTTTGTGCCCCTCTGCTGAAGGGATGAGAGAGGATTAAGCTGCAGGTGTCCCTGGGTCTCCGGGAAGAGAGGGCCTGTGGCAGTCAGGTAGAAGAACCTGCTGGACTGCTTTTCATCACCTCTGTGGTCCTGTCCTTGCAGAAACCAGACACCATGTGTGACGAAGACGAGACCACCGCTCTTGTGTGTGACAATGGCTCCGGCCTGGTGAAAGCCGGCTTTGCCGGTGATGACGCCCCCAGGGCTGTGTTCCCTTCCATCGTGGGCCGCCCTCGACACCAGGTCAGGCTGTAGCCTCCGCAAAGGGAGCCAGGCTTGTTCCCGAGGTTCCCGCCATTCCACATAGCGCTGGCGAATGTCACATGCAGCCGTGGTGACCAGTGCCTGGTGTGTCCACTTGCAGGGCGTCATGGTGGGTATGGGTCAGAAGGACTCCTACGTGGGAGACGAGGCGCAGAGCAAGAGAGGTATCCTGACCCTGAAGTACCCCATTGAGCATGGCATCATCACCAACTGGGACGACATGGAGAAGATCTGGCACCACACTTTCTACAATGAGCTGCGCGTGGCCCCTGAGGAGCACCCTACCCTGCTGACTGAGGCCCCCCTGAACCCCAAGGCCAACCGTGAGAAGATGACCCAGATCATGTTTGAGACCTTCAACGTGCCTGCCATGTACGTGGCAATCCAGGCTGTGCTGTCCCTCTATGCCTCTGGCCGTACCACTGGTGAGTGCAAACAACCAGGCTGAGAGAAGCTGAGGCAGGGAGGCCCGCCCCCCAGTCGCAGCTTTGAGCCCTGCTTTCGGTCCTGCCCTGTGCTCTTAGCTCAGCTCTGTGATGGCCCTGCTTTCCAACCGTGTACCTGACCCCAAGGCCCGACCTGAGTCTCACGCTGCCCGTCCTGGTGCAGGTATTGTGCTGGACTCTGGCGACGGTGTCACCCACAACGTGCCCATCTATGAGGGCTATGCCCTGCCGCATGCCATCATGCGTCTGGACCTGGCTGGCCGCGACCTCACTGACTACCTGATGAAAATCCTCACTGAGCGTGGCTACTCCTTCGTGACCACAGGTGCGCGGCCTGTTGCCCCAGGGTAGGTCCAGCGGGAGCGCGCACCCGGGCTCCCCTCTCCCTTGCTGAATCTGCGTCCTGCACCTGCCCCCTGCAGCTGAACGCGAGATTGTACGCGATATCAAGGAGAAGCTGTGCTATGTGGCCCTGGACTTCGAGAACGAGATGGCTACTGCCGCCTCCTCCTCTTCTCTGGAGAAGAGCTACGAGCTGCCTGATGGGCAGGTGATCACCATCGGCAACGAGCGTTTCCGCTGCCCGGAGACGCTGTTCCAGCCCTCCTTCATCGGTGAGCCCCGCGCCCCGCCCCTGCCGCCCCCCGGGGGGCCCCTGGCCCGGTGTCCCACTGAGCCGCTCACGATGCCCCCTGCCACACCCCGCGGCCTGCAGGCATGGAGTCCGCTGGGATCCATGAGACCACCTACAACAGCATCATGAAGTGCGACATCGACATCAGGAAGGACCTGTATGCCAACAACGTCATGTCGGGGGGCACCACCATGTACCCTGGGATTGCTGACCGCATGCAGAAGGAGATCACCGCCCTGGCCCCCAGCACCATGAAGATCAAGGTGGGCAGCGGCCGGGCGGTCGGGGTGGCGGGGCCGGCGAGGCCGGCGGGGTCACCTGACTGTTTGTCTTGCAGATCATCGCCCCCCCTGAGCGCAAGTACTCCGTGTGGATCGGCGGCTCCATCCTGGCCTCGCTGTCCACCTTCCAGCAGATGTGGATCACCAAGCAGGAGTACGACGAGGCCGGGCCCTCCATCGTGCACCGCAAATGCTTCTAAGGCGGCGGGGCCGCGCGCTCTTCTCAGGACGACGACGACGCCGTGTACATACAGTGACTCGACTTACCTCATTTTGTTATTTTTAAAACAAAGCCCTGTGGAAGGAAGTGGAAACTTGAAGCATTAAAGCAGCCATTATCTTAAACCGCATTAAGCGTTGGTTGTCTTTATTTACAGGGGAGGGGGAAAGGGAAGGGAGAGGACCGGGGAAAGGGTACCATTCTTGGGTGCGCTCCTCAAAGACAAAAGTTGTCCTCTCCGCCTCCCCGCGGTGTCCCCCTCTGGATCGAACCCATTCCCCAGTGTTGGGGACAGGGGTGGCCCTGTTGGACCCTCCGAGTGGTAGGGCAGCTCCCTCCCCTCCCCTGCTCCCAGGAAAGTGGCGGGAGCCTGGTGGTCACCCGGGCGCTGACCGTGGTGCTGCCCAGAGCCGCGTCGCGGGGCGCGGTTCCGGGGCACCCAGGCGGTTCCGTGCAGGAGGCGAGGTCTGACCAAAGGGCTATGCTCTGCTTTTCGTGAGTCAGTCTCAATACAGTCGCTATCTCTTCCAAACTGGGAAGGCCTCCGCTTCGTGCCGGGTGCTGGTGGCTCAAAGAAGCGCCCCTCTGGAGGTCTGGCAGGAGCGCCAGGCAGGGGAGGAGAAAGCCGAAAGCATTCCAGAAAAGGCGGCGCCCAGGGCGCAGGGGAGCGTTGCAGGGGCGTGAGGTGGAAACTGAACCCCAAGGCCAGCCGTGAGAAGAGCCAGATCGTGTCTGAGACCTTCAAAGTGCCTGGTACGACTCATCCTCTCACACCAGCCACCCGAGTTCCCGAGCTCTGGGAAATTCACAGGGGTTCCCACATCCTGTTGCTACCCCACCTACTTTACTAAGGACTCCAAGCACCCACCCTGCGCGGGGGAAGTATAGAGAGCATTAGCCGTTGCTATGACAGCTAGTCTTGCTTCATCCATCCATCTACCCAAAAATCTCAGCTGATAAATTTGACTCATTCTCCTTCCGGCAGGCCCGTGGTGTGTGTTTTTTGATTTTTATTTTTAAGCGGACCGTCACTATTTACCTAACAGTGTCCTCCAGGTAGGTGACCATCCCTCACCCTGACCTTACCGCCCACCTAGGGAGGAGGGTATAAGCAAAGGGTAGAGGAACACCTCCTCCCAAGCGTTTAAAGGCATAAAATATATTCATATAGTGTGAATTTCTTTTTTTTTTTTCTTTTGGTACTGAGGATCGAACTCACTACTGTGTGTTTGCCTGGCAGTGCCAGGCAGGCACTTATGCCACTGAGCTAAATCCCCAGCCCCTATAGCATGAATATTAATAGGCAAGCACAATATCTATTTTTTTAAAATGCCCTTGTGAGAGCAAAATTAAACAGATTCAGACTCAAAGAAGGTAACAAACTCATCCAAAAGTGAGATTATAGATACAAGCCACGTGACTCTGTGTTTATTACTCCCTCTCTGGTTTTTTGACAGCTTGATAAAATTTTGAAGACTCATAAGTAGTAGTACTGCCAAACCTAGACATTCAGAATGGACATGTAATAAAGTTTAAGATTTAAATAAAGCAAGTGCATGGCACCATGTTTATTGAAAGTCATGAATTTTTGTCCCGCTCAGTGAGGATAAAGGTTAAAACTGAGCTGAATTCTAGCCTCTGGAGGACCTCAGCTTTTTATTGCTAATACTAAACACACATAGGCATTTCTCATATGCTGATTATGAACATACTGATAATATTGGATGTACAGAGGTATATCTAAGCAAACTACACACACACACACACACACACACACACACACACACACACACACACAGTCTGAATAATTCATGTGGCCAGCAGCCTGGAAAAGTGTCAATATTACATGAGTTAGCTAATTGTCAAGTTAAACACTTTTTTTATTTTTTTGAGACAGGGTCTCACTACGTAGTTCAGGTTGACCTTGAATTCACTATGTAGCCTACCCTGGCCTCGAGCTGGAAGTCATCTTTCTGTCTCAGCCTCTGGGCTGCTGGGATTACATGCATGCACCACCAAGCCCAGTGCAATATTAAATACTTTTGAATCCAATCCCCAGGTCACTTAACTGCTATGTTAAGGAAGTATTGTGGAAGGGATTGGATGGCCCATTTCTCCTGGCATCAGACTCAGTAAGTGAATTTCAGCACTGAAAGAAGCTTCAACTCACTCTGGTAGAATTGCCTTAGCACTGGTTGGTATCTCAAAATTTTACCTGCCTTTGATGTTACTCTTGTACTGAAAAAACCCACAGACATTAGGAATTGTATTATTTTACTAGAAATATGCCAAGTTGAAAAATTGTCTTTTCCAACATTTTTCTGAAAAGAAACAAGTATCTCTAGTAGTGTTTGATGTCTTATTAGTGTTTTATATCTCTTGAACTTTCATAGTAGGTTATTTATAAGTATTTGGTAAAACCCACTACCTAAATTAGGCCTGAAAGAACTTTTTAAAAATAGTATTGTGTGGGAAGGAATGAGTCCTTAGAAACTAAACCAAACCAAACCAGGAATATACAAATATTTCTGCCAGATGAAAAGGAAAATAAGTATTCCCAGGAGTTTTGTATTTTTATTAAAATGAACCAAAAAAATGTTTTGTATGCTCATCAGGTCACTTCAAGGGAAGATAGGGCAGATTCTCCACTGAATCTTGGAGAATCAGTGCACTTCTTCCTCATTATCGTTTAGGGGACAATGACAAGGAAAATGACCCCTAGTGCTGAGAGAAAAAAAGAAGGAATGTAATGTAATTTCCTAAAAGGTGGATTCATCATCCCTACCTATCAGATCTGTCTTTTGTCACCTCTGAAAAACTGCTCATCTCTCACGTGCAGGCCTAAGGAATTTTGCTCCAAATTTTCCCTACACAGGCAGTGAGTCTGACGAGTCCTCGGATGACAGGCACCAGCTGGGGGACTGAGGGGCCAGGAGCCCCTGTAGCCTGCATCTAACAAATGACCAGCTAAGCCATGAGGAGGAAAACAGGGCAAAAGGAATGAGTGAAAATAGGACAAAGTGATACATCATCATGACAGCTCATGAGTAGGATAAGCAGTGATTTTTTTCCTGCCTTTTTATACATTCATCTTCTTTCCAATTTAATTTTCTAATAAATATGTAGGATATTAATATTAAAAATGCTGAAGTGAAAGAATAAATAAGTAAACAGAAAAGTACCCCCTAACTCAGCAGCCCTGAGTTCTATTTCCAGTGGTGAGATGGGCTAGGCAGGTTTATTTACAACCCTGCTAGTAACCAGAGGTGGTTTTGTGCTCAGGAGCCCAGGCTGGGCCTAAGAGAGCAGCCACAGGAGTGGAGCCTGACTCTCATTCTCTGCTGGGAGTCCTGGGAGTTGGCTGAGTGCTGTGGGAAGAGGACCTGGGTCAAGAGCTGAGTTCTGGCCTCCAGGCCAGTGCAGTCTGCCCTGCAATTCTCAGGAGGGCATGTAGTGGGGAGAGGCTACTTAGGAGGATGAGACCCAGAGCAGAGATAGGAGTTGGGGGGCTCAGTTCTCCCGCTGCCCCTTCCCCAAGAAGTTCTGAAAGACTCCATGTTCTGCTATCCCCTTCCAAGTCAGGTGCCTGGCAGCCCAGCTCCTTCCCATCAATACTTGCTTACTGAACATCTCTAGGACTACAAGTGCTGCAAAACATCTACCAACAAGGTGACGAATTCAGGCTTCTCCAGGAAATGCTTAAAATGTGCTGGTCATGATTGTAATCCCAGCACTCAGGAGGCTGAGGCAACAGGATCACCATGAGTTCAAGGCCAGCCTGAACTACATATCTTGTCTCAAAACAAACAAAAACCCAAATTAAACCAAACCAAAACCAAAACCAAAAAAAAAAAACCCCCAAAAACAAACAAACAAAAAACGAAACCAGAAAACAAAGGAGAGCAAAAAAAGGTCCTAGGTATTCACTTCAGTGTCTAGATTTTCCCCAGGTTTTTGTCTCAACCTTTAGTACCTAGTACAGGCCAGGGGAAACCAGGATCCCAGGCCATTGAGGCCCCACACATCTGTGTGGTCTCCAGGGTCCCTCCCCTTGGTGTGGGGAATTGTGTTTCCTCTCCCACCTCCCTGGCTTTGCAGGCCAACGTCAGAAAGCTGGACGAGCACTTCAGAGATCACTTGAAATCTCACTCCTACAGAGAAGGCAGGCACTGATCCAGGCCAGGGCCTGGGCCAGGGTTAAGCCCAAGAGACTCCTAGCTATGATATACTTCCACTGCCAAGAGTGCCCTTTGCCCTTTGTAACCAGTCCTTGCCTTGCATTTTCCATAGGGCAGCCAGAAGAAAGAGGTCTCTAGGCTCCTGGAGAACACACCACTGTGGTGCCCAGTCAGAGAAGTCTATTTCTTCTTTTCCCCTCTATCTGATGTCCTAATTCTTATAGTCCCTGGGAGGATGGCTCTACTTAGCCTGGGAAGTCGAGACATCCAAACTCCAGTCATGATTACGGCTTAGCTCATTCTCCAGCCAGATTCAGGACCCTATTACCCCAATTTATTTATCACTCACTGAGCACTTACAGTGTGCAGGAGATACAGCGGTGAGTAAAAAGAATGAGGGCCTCAGCACCAGACAGCCTACAGCCCCATGTGGGGGTGGGTGTGCATCAGACAGCAACAAAAGCAAGGCTGTACCTGAAATGTATGCATGCTACCCGTGTGGGAGGAGGCCTTGGGATAGGGGTGCAGTCTGAGGCCTGGGATGAGGGTGCAGCCTGAGCCCTGGAATAGGGGGATAGCATGGGCCTGGGATGAGGTGCAGCCTAAGTACCAGCTCTTTTACTTCCTCTTAGTCTATTGGAGTTTTGGGGCTGGCAGGGAGGTCATTGAAACTGGAATGTTGTATGGAAAACTCCAAAAGTCTGCGGGAGAATGCATTTGTGTTATTTTGGTCTCCTATCTCATGCACTAATGGAGGCTGGGGAGCATGTTGAAGGTAAATATCCAAAGAAACCAGCCTCAGCCGGGCCTGCTTACCCCAGCATCTGCTCTGGATCCTGTGCTCTGTTGGGGAGGGGAGCACGGGCAGAGAGCAGCTCTGGGAGGGGCTCAGGAGGTGAAGGCTCTGGGAACAGTAGAGAAAGGAGAGGGAAGCAGGGGAGGAGACGCTGCA